TTCCTTGTTCCTTGCACTACCCTAGAGCAGGCTTCCCCTCACTCTTCTGTGTAGGCTGATTGATTACTAGGGCTGGTTGAAATCATTTTTATCTTTAAATAAAAAATACCTTTTGAATTATACAGAAAAAAATTGTTAAACTTTCCTGATATTTTCATATTTTTGATTAAACAACTCTAAAAATTTGCATTTAAATCAGTTGGAATAATTTTGAATAGCTTAGTCAATTCACTGATTTTTTGTTTTGTTTTTGTTTGGCACAAAAGATTTCCCCTCTTCTTTATAAGAACGTAAGAATGGCCCTAGTGAGTCAGACCAAAGGTCCATCTAGCCCAGTATCATAGACTTTAAGGTCAGAAGGGACCATTATGATCATCTAGTCTGACCTCCTGCACAACGCAGGCCATGGGATCTCACCCACCAACTCCTGTAACAAACCCCTAACTTATGTCTGAGCTATTGAAGTCCTCAAATCGTGGTTTAAAGACTTCAAGGTGCAGAGAATCCTCCAGCAAGTGATCCTTGCCCCACACTGCAGAGGAAGTAAAAAACCCCCAGGGCCTCTGCCAATCTGCTCTGGAGGAAAATTCCTTCCCGATCCCAAATATGGTGATCGGCTAAACCCTGAGCATGTGGGCAAGACTCACCAGCCAGACACCCAGGAAAGAATTCTCTGTAGTAACTCAGATCCCACCCCATCTAACATCTCATAAGGCCACTGGGCATATCTACCACCAGTAGTCAAAGATCAATTAATTGCCAAAATTAGGCTATCCCATCATATCATCTCCTCCATCACCCCTTCAAGCTTAGTCTTGAAGCCAAATATGTCTTTTGCCCCCACTGCTTCTCTTGGAAGGATGTTCCAGAACTTCACTCCTCTGATGGTTAGAAACCTTCGTCTAATTTCAAGTCTAAACTTCCTATGGCCAGTTTATATCCATTTGTTCTTGTGTCCACATTGGTACATCATCCGACAGTTTCCAGTACCAGGTGTCCCAGAGACAATGAACAGAACAGGTAATTATCAAGTGATCCATTCCCTGTCTCTCATTCCCAGCTTCTCGCAAACAGAGGCTAGGGACATCATTCCTGCTCATCCTGGCTAATAGCCTTTGATGGACCTATCCTCCATGAATTTGTCTAGTTCTTTTTTGAACCCTGTTATGGTCTTGGCCTTCACAACATTCTCTGGCAAGGAGTTCCACAGGTTGACTGTGTATTGTGTAAAGAAATACTTCCTTTTATTTGTTTTAAACCTGCTGCCTATTAATTTCTTTGGGTGACCCCTCATTCTTGTGTTATGAGAAGTAGTAAACAACACTTCCTTATCTACTTTCTCTACACCAGTCATGATTTTATAGACCTCAATCATATCTCCCCTTATCTGTCTCTTTTCCAAGCTAAAAAGTCCCAGTCTTATTAATCTCTCCTCATATGGAAGCTATTCCATACCCCTAATCATTTTTGTTGCCCTTTTCTGAACCTTTTCCAATTCCAACCTTTTTTGAGATGGAGCGACCACATCTGCACACAGTATTCAAGATGTGGGCATACCATGGATTTATATAGTGGCAACATGGATATTTTCTGTCCTATCCTATCTTAATTATTCCCAGCATTCTGTTAGCTTTTTTGACTGCCGCTGCATATTGAGTGGATGTTTTCAGAGAACTATCCCCAATGACTCCAAGATCTTTCTTTAGTGATAACAGCTAATTTAGACCCCATCATTTTATATGTACATTTGGGATTTCCAATGTGCATTACTTTGCATTTATCAACATTAATGGCAATTTCATCTGCCATTTTGTTGCCCAGTCACCCAGTTTTGAGAGTTCTGTTTATAACTCTTCACAGTCTGCCTGGGTCTTAACTATCTCTAGTAATTTTATGTCATCTGCAAATTTTGCCACCTCACTGTTTACCCCTTTTTTCCAGATCATTTATGAATAGGACTGGCCCCAGAACAGACCCCTGGGGGACACCACTATTTACCTCTCTCCGTTCTGAAAACTGAACATTTATACCCTTTGTTTCCAATCTTTTAACTAGTTACCAGTCTATGAGAGCTCCTTCCCTCTTATCCTATGGCAGCTTACTTTGCATAAGAGCCTTTGTTGAGGGACCTTGTCAAAGGCTTTCTGAAAATCTAAGTACACTTTTTCCACTGGATCCCCTTGGTCCACATGCCTCAAAGAATTCTAGTAGATTGGTGAAGCACGATTTCCCTTTACAAGAACGATGTTGACTCTTCCTCAACAAATTTATGTTCATCTATATGTCTGACAATATTGTTCTTTATTATCGTTTCAACCAGTTTGCCTGATACTGACGTCAGGCTTACAGGCCTGTAATTGCTGGGATCACCTCTGGAGCCCTTTTTAAAAAATGGTGTCACATCAGCTACCCTCCAATCATCTGGTACAGAAGCTGATTTAAATGATAGGTTACAGACTACAGTCAGTTCTGTAATTTCACACTTGAGTTCCTTCAGAACTCTCGGGTGAATACTATCTGGTCCTGGTGACTTATTGCTGTTTAATTTATCAATTTCTTCCAAAACCTCCTCTAATGATATCTCAATCTGGGACAGTTCCTCAGATCTGTCACCTAAAAAGAATGGCTCAGTTTTGGGAATCTCCCTCACATCCTCAGCCATGAAGACTGATGCAAAGAATTCATTTAGTTTCTCCACAATGGCCTTATTGTCCTTGAGTGCTCCTTTAGCACCTCTATGGTCCAGTGGCCCCACAGGTTTTTGAGCAGGCTTCTGGCTTTTGATGTACTTAAAAAAAATTTGCTATTACTTTTTGAGTCTTTGGCTAACTGTTCCTCAAATACTATCATCCCTATTGTTTTTTCCCCTCTGGATTAATTGATTTATTTAAATATTTATTGTCAAGCCCTTCCAGAATCATTATGGGTGTAGACCTTCACATTTGTGAAAATTAGGTATAAAGCCTCTTTTAAATAGCGTGGGGGGGGGGGGGGGGGACAAAGATGCTGGTGTCTTCTATCCTGGGGATTTTGGTTGGTTGGTTGGTTTTAGTTTTTTTTGCACATCTTATTTCTGTTTTTCACTTGAGCAGTGTAGTCAGGATTCAATATGTTATGTAATCTATGCCATGCAATGAGGTGAAACAAGATCAGGAAACAAAATCAAGGAGATATTTTACTACCTGAACTCTCCAGAGAGGCGATCTCGGTACTTAAACTTCTTGTAAAGGGCAACAAGGAGCCTGGTGGCACCTTAAAGACTAACAGATTTATTTGGACATAAGCTTTCATGGGTAAAAAAACCACTTCTTTAGAAGCATGGAGTGAAAATTACAGATATTACAGGCATAAACATATACTGGCACTTGAAGAGAAGGGAGAACCAATGTAGAAGGCCAATTCAGCCAGGGTGGATGTGGTCCACTCCCAATAATTGAGGAGGAGGTGTCAATACCAAGAGAGGGAAAATTGCTTTTGTAGTGAGCTAGCCACTCCCAGTCCCTATTCAAGCCCAAATTAATAGTGTTAAATCTGCAAATGAATTTTAGTTCTGCAGTTTCTCTTTGAAGTCTGTTTTTGAAGATTTTTGTTGAAGTATGGCTACTTTTAAATCTGTTTATAGAATGTCCAGGGAGATTGAAGTGTTCTCCTATTGGCTTTTGTATGTTACCATTCCTGATGTCTGATTTGTGTCCATTTAGCCTTTTACGTAGACCCTGTCCAGTTTGGCCAATGTACATGACAGAGGGGCATTGCTGGCACATGACGGCATATCACAGTAGATGTGCAGGTGAATGAGCCTCTGATGGTGTGGTTGGGTCCTATGATGGTGTCGCTAGAGTAGATATGGGGAACGGGAAGGCAACAGGGTTTGTTATAGGGATTGGTTCCTGGGTTAGTGTTTCTGTGGTGTGGTGTGGTGTGTAGTTGCTGGTGAGTATTTGCTTCAGGTTGGGGGGCTGTCTGTAAGCGAGGATTGGCCTGCCTCCCAAAGCCTGTGAGAGTGGGGGATCGTTTTCCAGGATAGGTTGTAGATCGTTGATGATGCGCTGGAGAGGTTTTAGCTGGGGGCTGTACGTGATGGCCAGTGGTGTTCTGTTATTTTCCTTGTTGAGCCTGTCCTGTAGAAGGTGACTTCTGGGTACCCATCTCGCTCTATCAATCTGTTTCCTCACTTCCCCAGGTGAGTATTGTACTTTTAAGAATGCTTGATAGAGATCTTGTAGCTGTTTGTCTCTGTCTGAGGGACTGGCGCAAATGCGGTTGTATCTGAGGTCTTGGCTGTAGACAATGGATCATGTGATGTATCCTGGATGGAAGCTGGAGGCATGTAGGTAAGTATAGCGGTCGGTAGGTTTCCAGTATAGGGTGGTATTTGTGACCATCACTTATTTGCACTGTTGTGCCTAGGAAGTGGATCAATCCAAGCTGAGGTTGATGGTGGGGTGGAAATTGTTGAAATCCAGGTGGAATTCTTCAAGGGCCTTCTTCCCATGGTGGGGAAGAGGTGGACCTTCTTCAAGGACCTTCTTCCCAAGGTGGGAGGGGGAGGTAATATCTTCTATTGGACCAACTTGTGGGGGTGAGACCCAAGCTTCTGATCTCTTCTTGAGATCAGGACAGACTAGAGAGCATTTCCTGCAGGAAGGGTGGGTGTGTGTGTGTGTGTGTGTAAAAAAGTATAGCAGCGTTCCCCCCAACCCCGTCCCTGCCTTCGGATACACCTGAGCCCTGACTCTTGCTGCGGCTGAACAGCTGCGCGACGCTAGACAGCCTTTCAGCTTGATCAAGGACCAAAAAGGGAGTCGTGCCCGCGCTTTTCCCAGCTGTGAAAGGCCGGACCCAGCCTCGTCCTTGCCTTTGCGCTGAAACCGAAAGCGCTGTGAGGGGAGACCCGTGAGGGCCGCGCTGCACGGACGGACGCGCACGCACGGAGGGGGGCGGGCTCCCATCGCTGCTGCTTCGCCCCACAGCCCAGCCCCCAGGGTGTGCCGGCGGACTTCGGCACCGCGATTGCCCAGCGGCCGCTCCCCCGGGGCAGCGCCGCCGCCTAGCTCCAGCCGGTCCCTGGCGGGGGCGGGAAGCTCCGCTCCCAGCCTCCCCCGAGCGCCGCCCAGCGGTCACGGTGTGCGCCTTATTCCCCTGCCCGCCCGGGTGCAGCGAGGTTTGCGCTCTCCCCAGCCCGGAGCGCGGCGGGGCTCTTGCCGGAGCAGGTGCGGGGGGGCCGGCGGGGGCGCCGCGGAGGAGCCCCGCTGCCCGGGAAGATGCGGCTGGGCTGGAGCAGTGAGTAGGCGCCACCACCGGCGGGAGCGGGAGCCGGCGGGCCGCCCCCCTGCCCTGGGGCCGGGCTGGAGGCTGCGGGGAAGGGGCGGCGGGCGGTGGCCCTGCCGCCGGCTTCCTTCCCGTGGGGGCTGGCGGGCAGGTCCCCTTTCCCCGCAGGGGTGTCGCGCTGGCCGCCGGGGCTCGGGGCTCAGCCTCCCACTTCCCTCGGGCCGGGCGGGTGTGCTTGGCAGCCCGCCACAGGCTGGCCCCGGCCCCGCAGCCCTCGCTCTCCCCGGCCCTCCAACAGCAGAGCAAGTCTGACTGCTGCTGCTTCCTGAGGTTTGTCCCCCCCGATCGTTTCCGGGAGGCGCTTGGGACATTAGAGGTGTTGGGGCTTCTCGTCCCCTCTCCCATCCCTGCCTCTCTTGGCACTTCTCCTGGGCTTCTACCCTCTTCCCCAGCCACACTGGCACGGGCTGGGACCTGCTCTCTGCCTCGTCTGGCCACCTGTACACTTCCACGTTTGACTGGCTAGTACAGCCGCCCTTTGGCCCATGCACAGCGGTGTGTCAACGCTAGTGCGCGTACTCCCCACGAATGCTTGCATCTCTGTAAAATGTAGTGCACCACAGATAGGTAACTACCCCAGCGTGCTCTTCCCCGTTGTCTGGCTCACTGCCTTGTGGATCATTGGCACAGTGTTCTGTGGGAAACTAGCGATTTGCCCAGGGGTTTTGGGGAGCTAGGGATCACGTTCGCACCATGCCAATTTCTACACCCCATAATGCTTTCCACATCCCATAATTTCTGCACTTAAAAAAACAAACAAACAAAAAACCCCTCCCACTGTCCCTTATGTCTCCACCATCTTGCTCACAGACCTGGATCTTGCAAGAGCTCAGCACAGTGTTCAGGAGTGTTGCTGATACAGGACATACGATTCTCCTGTGTTTGCAGAGTTCAAAGGGATGGTGATGATGGGGAGAAGTTCTGTCACAATAACTGGATGCTGATGGATGTAGCCCCCCCACCCCAAAAAATAAAAAAGCCAGGTTGCCGCTGGCATTCACAGAGCAACTCCACTCAACAATCATTGTATCCAGGCTCAAGAAATGAGCACTGATTGGTGGAATACATCATAATGCACAGTTGGGACGACTAGCAGGGGTTGTAGAACTTTTGAGTTCAAAAGGCTGCGTTCCTGGATCTGTGTGCTGAACTTGCACCAGACAGACAGTCCACGGACCCCAGAATGAGAGCCGCATTGAGAAGCGAGTGGCAGTCGTGCTGTGGAAGCTTGCAACACCAGATTGCTTTCAGTCAGTGGCATCTGGAATTGGAAAAATCACAGAGGGGGCCATTGTTGTCTAAGTGTGTAGGGCTGTTAAATATCTCCTGCTACACAGGACTGTGACTCCTGGTAAAGTACAAGAAGTAGTAGATGGATTCATATCAGTGGGGTTCCAGAACTCAGGTGGGGTGAAAGCATACACATCCCTCTTCTGGCTTTAACCCACTTTGCCACCAAGTATATCAACAGAAAGGGGTATTTTTTTTCATGGTTATATAACCACTAGTGAATCACTGGTGATCTGTCACTGATATCAAGGTAGACTGGTTAGGGAAGGTGCATGATGTTTGCATGTTTAAAAACATGTGATTTTAAAAAAAAACCTGCAAGAAGGGACACTTTCCCCAACGGACAGATTACCACAGGTGATATTGAAATGCCGATATTGATCCTGGAGCGATACGGCCTGCCCCTTGCTCCTCTGGCTCATGAATTTGTTCACTGGTCACCTTGGCAGCATTAGGGAAAGATTCAATTACCATCTCAACAGGTGCAGTTGAATATGCTTTTGGTAGATTGAATGGACACTAGCATGGCTTATTTAGGAGATTGGATCTCAGAGAGGAGGAATATCCTCCTACTTATACCTGCATGGTGTGTAATGCATTATAGCTGTGAGGCAAAGGGTAAAAGCTGCCATCAGGATGAAGGGTTGGAATGGACAGGCCGTCTGCTGAATTTGAACAGCAAGAGGCAAGGGCTAGTGGAACAGCCAACTGTAGAGCTACGTAGCTGAGGGAGATCTTAAAAGGCCAGTTTATCAGTCAGCCACAGTGGTGGTGTCTAATGTTGTTATTACATAACGTCCCTTGGGTGTTCTTACTATGGGTGGGGCTTTGCTTCCTGCTATTCACTGTAATTCCTGGTATAAACTAATAAAGATACTGAGTCTCCAAAAAATAGAACTTCATTATGTGCAGAGAACAAAGTTAAAGTGCAAACAAACAAACACTAAGTTTAAAAAATCTTTTACCAACTTGTGACTTTGAAATCCCAAGTGAAAACAGAGGTAGGGCAGGGAACATTCATGTCCATGTATCTGAAACCTGCAACAATGTGGCTACATATACGCTGCCCTGTGGTTTTCACAGGTACCAGTGTATGTGTGGCTATTGTTCTCCTTGTTCAGTGTGGAGTGATAGGCATAAGGATGTACACCATGGTGCCCGGTGGCGTGGGAGTGTAGTGAGCAACGACTAGTTTTAAACAAGGAGGAAGGGTGCGGGAAGGAGAGAGAGAGATGAGCACACACTGGAAAAATTAACAAGCTTGCAGCTATGTAAGTAAACTACAAGAATGTGATAACAGAGTCCTTCATCTATTAACGAATTAGGTCTTCTGCTCTTTTGTATCTTTCTTAGGCACCAATACACTTTGACTAATTTATTTGCTCTTTCAGCACCAAGTCTATTGCAGAACTGGACCAAACCAATAATTAAAAATAATAATAATCCCCCCAACTGAACAATAAGAAACACTTGCCTGATGCACAACTGGGTGGACAGGACTGCAGAGCCTTTGCTATTTTTTTAAAGTTCTAAAATCAATTCTTTTTTTCTGTGATTTTTAGTTCTAAAAATTTTAACCATTTTGATGCAAAAAACTGTGACCCAACATCCTTCACAAATATAGGCTTGTGGTAGAAACCTGGATCTTTAACTTTTACATTCCATCAGAAACTTTCACCTTTTTTCTGGCTTGACCTTTGTATTTTGGCTCAGTAACAGGTTCGCTGAATCATTTTCAGTTTGGTCCTTGTGTTGTTCCATTTCTTAGTTAATTACATCAGACCGAATTTCCACTGAGACTAGAGTGATTTGAAATCTATTGAGTCTGCCTGTGTAGGTCTCACTTCCATGGGCTCTGTAGACTCCCTCCAGCTCAACAGCTTCAGACTTGCAAGGCTCATGTTAGTACCCTACCAATAGATGTGTAGACTGTGCTTTGAGGTTGCGACTTTGGCTTTGAAGCCTATGGAGGGCTCCTTTCTGAGGCACAACTTTAAAGCACAGTCTGCACAGCTATTTTAGATCACTATTCCAAGTCTGTCGACCTGGACTAGGAGGCTCACTTCTGCAGCTGTGTAGACATACCCTCTAAGTTTGCTTTTTAGTGCTATGTGAAAAATGTGCTTTTTTTTAAATCTATGACCTTATCGTATATATGCAAATTCCAACATTATTTATGGTAGCTGGATGCAGCTATGGAGAGAGAAACTTTTTGAGACTTCTACCATATGTCTTGAAGAAACTGGGACATTAAGTCCCCTTTTTTCAACCAAAATGAATCTGATGGGGGTTACAGAAGAACTTTTGAATGCATTTTAGAACTGTTAGGTATTCCTTCTTCCTCAATGAGGTTCAAATACTGTGGTGAACACTCATATATCAGAAGCTAAGGATGAATCCACCTGAGACCTTCACTCATCTTTTTCATTTTACTTTTATTGCCAGAGCCAATGGCAAAGACTTCCTCGGGATATTTCTCTTTGGATGGTATCTTCAGCAGCTTGGACACAGTATTCTCCTTTTTTCTATTTAGAAATAAACTCAGTAGTATTCATTGGGATTGCAGTTTTCTAAGAATGGCTGCTTATAGCTGTTGTAGGGTCATTTTTCATGTTTCATCATCTTTCCTTAATATCAACGCTGATCCATTTAGTTCTTCCTTTACTGTTTCCTCTGTTTCCATTGGAGTACTTAACTCTGCAGTGAAGATATAGCCTTAACTTGCATTATTTAAAGGTACGTCTCTTGAGCTAGGTTAACTTGAGTGAGTGGGGACCCACTTTGGACTTGTCTTCACTGCAAAGTTAACTCAACATAGAACTTAAGTGTTATGCCTAACATGTGTCCCTCATCCACACAGACAAACTCTGAACTTGAATGTGGTGGTGCTTTTAACCCTTGTTGGCTGTCCTGTTGGAGGGTATAGGCTAACTTTTGAGTTAGCACAACTCATCAGCTGCTAATTTGTGTCCACGCTACAGAGTGGTCTTATCTCCCTTCAAATGCTGCTAGTCCTCCAGCACTTTCCCACAATTCCTCCCATGTGCCCAGGAAATATAGAAAAGTCCTCCCACAATTCACTGGGAAAGAATTCCTGGAGCAATTCAGCTAACTGCAACACTAAAAACCCTGGGATATACCCCCAGAAGTCTTAGGCTATGTCGTTACTGACAAAAATGGTATGTTTTTACCACAGGATAACTAACAAATATGTTAGCTATACTGCTGTAAAATCCCAGTGGAGATAAGGCACTACTTTTATTTAAAAGTAAACTAGGTGAGGTCAACTACAGACAGTAATGTAGTGTTGGCCTCACCTAGGTATCTCGCGATAAACAATAAAAGTGCTTTGCCTGTACTTAGGATTTTACAGTGGGATAACTGTTGTCTGTTATCTAGTGTAAACAAACAACTAAACAAAAATCCCCACCATCATGCACACCTTTGTGTTAGTGAAGACAAAAGTGTAATGCCACATGAGGGAGTGTTGTGCCTGTGTGCACAAATTAGCTCAAATGTTACATGTTACTTTGCTGTGTTGCTGCTCCCACTAGGGCTAGGCTAGCTCAAGAGGAATACTCAAGCATAAGAAACTTGAATTAATTTTTCAATGGAGAAAAACTAACTGTGGGTCTGTCAGTTGACATTTGTCTGGAGGAGTATACCCAAGGCTAAGTGCATCAATTATTTCTTTAAAATGCTTATTTTGTACTTCATTGAAGGTAATGCATAAAGGAAGGTTGCAAGTTTGGCTTTTTTGTTTGCTTTTTAACCAAGTGGAAAACTTTGCTTTTCAGATTATGATATTAAAAATAAACACTGATCGACCCTTGCCTTTCTTTGGATGCTGAAAATGAACAAAAGACTTCTCTTGAATCAAGCTAATGTTAAAAAGCTATAAGTGTGGAACAAGGGTCTTAACAGAACAGCGTGGATATTTTTTATGATCCTGAAAATCTCTCACATGATCACCAAACTCATCAAAGTTCTGCTCTTTCACTTTAACAATTATATTCAGTGTCACATTTGATCTGCAAAAGGTGAACGAAACTGAGTTTCTGCACTGTTTTGAGGGTGACTACAAATCCTGTCTAGCTTGCTGCTTAGCAACTCTTGACATTGTTCACATTTTACTTTAAAAGAATCCTCTGTTTTCATTACTTAACTCCATTCAATTGTTTGTTTTGTACCACTCCCTTCAACTTCAGACATGCTGAATCATATAAATTGTACGCTAGGGTTTAGCAATCAGTGAATGCTAAATAGAGCTAGCTAAAATGTACTAAAACTTGACTCAATTTTTCAATGCAGTTTTTTATTGGAAATGTCAAATTTTGACCAAAAATATGTAATTTTTGACATATTTTGCAAAAATTACATCCTGTTTTCAACTAGCTCTAATACAAAGCACTTGTTTGCAATATCTAATTACCTCCATTTCTAGCATAGACCATGAGCAGCTTAACTCAGTTGTTAAAAACCCATATAAATTGGATAGTAATTAGAGCTGGTAAAAAAAAATTTCCAGCAAAATCTTTTTCCATCAGAAAATGCCATTTTGTTGCAATCTAAACTCTCCTCAGCAATGTGTCAATTTTGATGAAATTTCATTTAAAAAAAATCAAAATTAAGCATTCTGATATGGTCAAAATGTTCTGTTTTGACTTCTGTGGACTGGGACATTTCAGTTTTCCATTTTGAAGTGACTTTGTCTCCAATTTTTATTTTACATTCTAAATTATAATATAAAAAGTCAAAATGGATACAAAATATTTTGATTTTATTGAAGTGCAGTGTTTCACCTGACCCAAAATTGATTTTTATTTTACTTTTTTTATTTTTTTACAAATTCTATTTTGCGGAAAATTTAGAAATTTCCACTGTGGCCAGATGACTATAGTAAAGTAGTGAGAAACACGTATGTTAGCCCCAGGCTAAACAAATCCCTGTTACCATAGTAACCAAATGGCTGTTGCTCCAGGTTAATCTAGACACCTGGGGCCAATTAAGGGTCTTCCAGAAAGCAGTGGAGACAGGTTGATTGGGACACATGAAGTCAATCAAGGGCTGGCAGGAACTAGTTAAAAGCCTCCCAGTTAGTCAGTTAGAGGCATGTGTCAGGATTTGTAGGAGGAAGCCGCACTGCTGGAGAAACTGGGCAGGAAAAACCCTATCAGGCACAAGGAAGGAGGCCCTGAGGTAAGGGTGAAGTAGATGTTGAGGAAATGGGGGCTGCTGTGGGGAATTGGCCCAGGGAATTGTACTCGTTCTGTTTCAAAAGGTCAGCTACCAATAGCTGCAACTATTCGGGTCCCGGAGTAGAGGGCAGGCCCAGGCTTCCTCCTTCTTTCTCCCCAACTCTCCCCGATTAATCACAGAGACTGTGAGACAACAGAGACTGCGAGGGAGGGTTGCTTCTTCCCACCTTCCTTGCTGGCTTATGATGAAAATGGCTCGGAGTGTGTGACCTTTGACTCTAGAGAGAGAAGGGCCACATGGAGGGTCACAGTGAGCCTCTTAGGCTAGCGTAATCTGCCTGGAAGCACGGGATCCACTGGGACAAGGTCGGAGCTTTGTCACACCACGTAGCAAATCAGAATGAAAAAAATTCAGCATTTCAGAATTTGACATGAAACAGAAATGTTGGTTCCTGTACAGCCCTAGTGCTAACGTTTTTAAACAGCACTTAAATAAATCATGTTAACTTACGTCATTTTAAACTCAACCCACCTACCCCTCCAGCATAGACTGGACCTAGCATGCTGGGATTGTGCTAAAGCACAGGGAATTTGTGAACTTCTTGCTCAGGAATTTGATTTGGGAACCACCTATATATTCTATATTTATTCCTGGGAAAGGAAACTTTAAAAATAAACAGGAGAATCTCCAAATTTGATGTTCATCCTCACTTTCTTGTCTGAAGTGCTGAGTATTGTAAAAAAAGCCGCCATGTTTTCCCTGCCCCTTCCCCATCTTCCAGCCCCCCTAAAAGGCTGCATTTCAGTGATGGTTGAAGTAGTTCCTTAATTAACACAGTGTACATACTCACAATGTGAAGCACTTGGGTCATTTTGTGGTGAAAGATTCAATAGAAATGTGATATTTTATTAACATGGGGGTAGGGTGTATGACCCATCTCCAGGTCAGGGTAGAAATTTTTATTTCTGGAGAAGGGGAAGCCAAGTGTCTGGTACAATGTGACTGGATTTCAGCTTCACTCACAAAAACATAGCGGATACACACCTGTCTCCTTGCCCATATAGACACTACTGTAGCTTCTACAATAGTGATGGAAATTATAGTATAAGTGAGAGAGGTTGGACTAGTGGCTGTTGTCACTCCACATCTCTGTGCAGGCTTCTGGGCCTCCAGATGTGTGCAAATCTAGATTTCACAACTCCATCCTCAATCTGAACCCCAATTCCATTTACATATCTGCCTATTCAGGCCTAGTTTAGTCTTCTCCTGTATTTCAAAGAGGATATGAAGAGCCCCCTGTGAGCTATCTGTAGGGTAGGTTTTTTAACTGCCACCTATCACGGTAGCATCTGGGTGCTGCCAATCTAAAATAGATAGGAATAGCCAAGTCTCTAGATGATTTCAGGGAATCTCTGGCATGTCTCCTTTTCAGGGTCAAACCTCTGCTTGGGGATAGAGTGGGTCTTTTTGTTGTTAATTGTGTTTTAAGACTTTTTTTTTTTTTTTAGGGGTGGAAGGGGTTGTCATTGTTGAATGCCATGCTAACTAACTCTGTCTGCAGCCCCACCGAAGATCTCAAATGGTGTGGAATGCCTGTGCATCAGGACTCAATTTCCCGCTCTCAAAGTAGTGTATTTGTGTAACAGCACCATAGAAGATGCTATATTTTTAGTAGCCCTGTGTAGACTTCTTATCACATGCTGCCTTTTTTCTCATTAAATAATGGATTTGTTGTTTCTTATCAGACCTTGCGAAGTTATCAGGACTTCTGTTAGCATCAGTGTGTGCTTGGTATTTGGGATACCTGTTTGCAGATATCATACCTGAAGATTCGATGTCATCAGCTATTGAAAATATTCAGAGAATTGGAGAGAAACCAGTACTTAAGGGTATGTGGTCACATGACTTTTTTTTCTGCTAATATGCAGTATATTATAAGTGAAGCACAGTGTTTTGTAATTTAACCTGCAAATGAGTTGTTAGTTAATGAATGATTGGTTATGTGGTGTTCTCCTAAGAATGAATGAGCAGATTGTATAATAAGTAGGGCTATCGATTAATCACAGTTAACTCATGTGATTAACTCAAAAAAACTGTGATTTAAAAAAAATCATGATTAATCACAGTTTTGATCTCACTCTTAAACGATAGAATACCAATTGAAATTTATTAAATATTTTTGGATGTTTTCTACATTTGCAAATATATTTCAGTTACAACACAGAATACAAAGTGTACAGTGCTCACTTTATATTATTATATTACAAATATTTTCACTGGAAAAATGATAAAAGAAATAGTATTTTTCAGTTCACCTCATACAAGTACTGTAATGCAATCTTTCTATTGTGAAAGTAGAACTTACAAATGTAGATTTGTTTTGTGATATAACTGCACTCAAAAACAAAACAATGTAAAACTTCAGAGCCTACAAGTACACTCAGTCCTACTTCTTGTTCTTGTTTGAAATGCCTTTCAAAATCTGAGAGGGATGAGGTGTGGCGTATGCTTTCAGAAGACTTAAAAGAGCGACACTTCAATGCAGAAACTACAGAACGCAAACCACCAAAAAAGAAAATCAACATTTTGCTGGTGGCATCTGACTCAGATGATGAAAATGAACATGCTTTGGTCCTCACTGCTTTGGATCGTTATCAAGCAGAACCCATAATCAGCATGGACGTATGTGCCCTAGAACAGTGGTTGGAGCATGAAAGGACATATGAATCTTCAGCGCATCTGGCGCATAAATATCTTGCAACACTGGCTACAACAGCGCCATGCGAACATCTGTTCTCACTTTCAGGTGACGTGAACAAGAAGCGAGCCTCAATATCTCCTGCAGATTGTAACCAAGCTTGTTTATCCGAGCAATTGTCTACGTTTATAGTACGCTAGAACACTGGTCAAAAGATCATCTCAGAGGACTGCTGGACCCATTCTCCCCAATCAAATTCCTCTTTGCTCTCTACCCTCATTTGGCAAGCAGGTGCCAATTTCAAACCCATATAAATCTATGGTATTTTTGATATGATGTTTGTAGGTTGACAAGGTTTGCCTTTGTAAGTACTTGTGTGACCTTTCTCTGATATATTGAAATTAATTGGTCATTTTGGTATATGAATGGTGTTTTCATAGTTCTCAAACAAAGCATGTTCTGCTTTCTTATTCGCTACAGCCCCACCCCCCAAAAGACAGAAATGTGACCATTGGTCTCCGTGCTCACCTGGAAGCTATGCTTATCGAGTACTCAGTGGTGGTGGCAAGGAAAAGTTGGCCAAGATTTGTTTTGAAGATGAGTTGTAAGTACCAGTCTACTTCGAGTCTAAGCAAGGGCTATCTGGAGTAGTAGGGGCATTTTGGTTTAGCAACAGACTAAACTTTTTTATAAAGAGACATTTCTTGGATTAACGCCAACTACATAATACAAAACCACCAATCTTGGGGTTTTCAACTTTCAACACTATTTACCATGTTACGCTCCTTACGTCCCTCAAGCAAGACACCACCATTTCAGCTCTCCTCTGTAAAGTATAGGTGTGATTCTAGGATAGGCACACAGCAAATGAAGCACGCTTGGAAATCCAGAGGTGGGATTCATTTAGATGTTGTGGTTTTTAATTTTAATTATTATAAACTTTTTTTTAAAAACCTCTTAAATTTTGTTACATCTGATCCATATGTTTTCTCCCTTTGGGATAGATCATTGCTTTCTTCATCATTGGGTTGAAATGCTGTTTTCATTGAATTCAGCGCCAAAATTTTCACTGACTTTACTGAGGCAAAAATTTGACTCTCTGTCCTTATTTCTGTGTATCTGACACACCCCTGAAATTTTAATTTCTCTCTCTTCTGACTACATGATTGGCTTCATTGTGTCAACTCTTAGATATCTTATAACTTTAAACCCTGAATAATTCTGTTCCATCTGTGTGGAGAATGCCGCACGCCCCCCCCTTTTTTTAAAGCCCATTACCAACATTAAACTCCACCTAATTTTCTCTCTGTTCCATTGCATCTTTCCAGTCTCCCTCGCTGTATGTATTCTGAAAGTATACTTAGGTTGTTTCTTTGATACTTTAGATTTTTTCCTTTTAGTCTACTTTGTCATTTTGTTTTCTCTGTGCTTGTGTCACTAAAGTAATCTTTCTGTTCTATCTCTAACTTTTTTTTTAACCTTGCATCTTGGCTTTTCTCTTTTGTTCATACAAACTGCTTTGGGCCAAGATTTTCAAAAGTGACTAATGATTGTGGGTGCCTCAGATTTCAGATGCACAACTTGAAACACTATAAAAGGGCCTAATTTTCAGAGGTTGGATGCTCAGTGCATTCTGAAAATCAGGCCTCTTTACAGTGTCTCAAGTTAGGCACTCAAAAACTGAGGCCCTTAAAATCACTAGTCACTTTTGAAAATCTTGGTGTGGAGCTGTTGTGAAGATACACTGGCCTATTCTATAAATCTGTGTGGAATGGTGCCACAAAACAAATTATTTTTTCTTTGGCATTGTTTTTACTCTGCTTGCGTTGCACTTGTACAGGTTACAGTTTTGAACTAGACTCATTATGGGTTCTCTGGAGGAGATGCGCCATAGATACTTAAGATATGGCTCCATTGCTTTCAGCAGACTCCTCAATTAAATGATTAAGCTAAAAACAAGAATACCAGGAATGACTTTGCCTAGGTAAATATCACCACCCTTCTCAAGTACAGTTCCTGACTGATGATGTATTTATTTCAATTTCAGGCTCATAAGTGAACAGAAGGGTAATGTTGGAAGAGGTATAAACATTGCCATTGTGAATTGTAAGTAAGAGAGGAATGTTATGGGGACAATGGTAGTACGCTAAGAAAAAAGATTGCATCTCAGACATGCAAAATCAAACAGTCTTCCTTCTATATTTTTAAACTACCACTTCCTCTCTGTTGGACACTTATGAAAGTAGAGTAACCAAGAACAATCATTGTTTGTCACTCCCAGTCACTTTTAGTGTGACCTTGCAATATATGAATGACTGAACCGAGAATCATTTGGATTCAAACTTTCCTCTCTTACGCTCCCTCTCTGCCCCTTCCAGCAAGCTTTTACCTTCTAAACGAAAGGCAATTCCTGAAATATGAGTGTTCGATACACTTCTTAAAATTGGGTAAAGAATGTTGATCTGAAAAGATGTATAGAAAGGACTACTGCAGATAGTGTAATGGGTTACTATTCTAGATAATAATATCTAACTTTTATACAGAGCTTTACATCTGTGGATCTCAAAGCGCTTTACACTTGAATTCAGTATTATCCCCATTTTACAGATAGGGAACCTGAGGCATAGAGTGGTAAAATTTCTGCCCTTGGCCTGTCTGGTGACTTTGGGCAAGTACCAGAAACAGAACTCAGGTCTCCTGAGTCCCAGTCCAGTGCTCTATATGCTAGGCCACAGTGATATTAGTCTCTGGTTTAAATCCTTAATTTAGTCTCTAGTCATAATGAGTTTTGGCTGCTCTCCGTGTATGTCATTGTAACATCATCTTGTGCCCTCAAGTTTTTTGCACTCCCCTCTGTCCCTCCCACTTATGGGTGTAAAGGTACATGCAGTCCATCTATGGTACTGCCCCAGAGGAAAACCACAGCCTTCTCCGTGGCAGTAGTACAGAGACTGCCATTCACATCTCTTTCACCGCCTTAGAGGAGTTCTGTTTCCTTACACAGCAGCAGCTTGTAACTTTCTAGTTTATCAGATTCAAATTCCTCTTCGCTTTAACAAAAAGAAGCACTTGAAGAAAAAAAAATCTTAGAATAGTGGGGAAACAAAAAAGAAATAAGCTTGTTAAATTTTCAGTGGATGAGAATGGACAACCATGAAAAATTGTCCAAGTGGCCCTGGATTTTAAATTAGAGAGAGTAGATTTACTTTGCATGTCACGTAAAAGAAATTTCTCAGTTCTCTAATGACTAGGATGAGGTGCAATATATTTAATAGTGGCCCCTCCTGTGAGGAATAAGAGCCCTGAGTCTGGAAAAGAAGCTCAGATGTAGTGTGGTGTTTGCTTTGATGCAAAAATGTTGCAATATTAAAAAAAAAAAAATTGTTCTGTTTGCCCACCCACTTGGAAGGTAAATAGCTACACAAAGAACGAAGTTGTGTACATTGGTGTGGCTCCATTGACATCAGAGATATCCTGTTTATATCAGCTGAGGAGCTGGTCCAAAATTTTCATTTCCTTGTCACCAAACTTACCTTGTATTTTTATTTTCTATTAAAAAAAAATCATAAAGGATTTAGTGGCCACAGTAGACTACCAACTGAACATGAGTTCTTCGTGTGAGACTGTTACTAAGAGGGTGATCATGATCTTTGAACGTATAAGTAGAGGAATATCAAGTAGGAGTAAGGAGGTGCTATTACCTCTGTACGTGGCATTCGTGAGACCATTACTGGAATATTGTGTCTAGCTCTGGGGTCTACACTTCAAGAAAATGTTTAAAAATTGGAAAGGGTTCAGTAAAGAGCAGCAAAACTTTAATAATGAGAAACTACAGAAACTGAACCTAATTAGTTTATCCAAGAAAAGATGAAGAGGTGATGTGATCGTGGTCTCCAAGTACCTATGTGGGGAAGAGATTTCTGATAGTAGACAGCAGTTTAATCTAGCAGAAAAAGGCATAACAAAATCCAGTGATTGGAAACTGGCCAAATTCAGACTAGAAATACGGTGAAAATTTTAAACTGAGACAGTAATTAACCATTGGAACAACTTACTTACTAATATAGTGAATTCTCTTGAAGTCTTTACATCAAAACTAAATCTCTTTCTGAAGGATATGCTACAACTTAAACAGACATTATGGGTTTGATGTTGAAATGATTAGGTGGGGTCCTATGGCCTGTGTTATGCAGGAGGTCAGACCAGATAATCACAGTGGTCCTTTCGGGCCTTAGAATGTGTGAAAATATTGCATAATAGAATATCTTCTATCCTTCCACTGAGAGGTAGTTTCTGGCTAAATAAATATTCACATGTACTCCTTAATTATCTTGCTTCCTTTATTCACTGGTTCAGATAGAAAAGTGGCCATATCTAACACTGCAATACAGTAAAACATCCTCTGCATATTTTCTAATTAATTAAACCTCTCCACTACAGACTGTATCAACACTTTTTTTTTGTAGTATCACTTTAATATGTTAATTCACATTGCTGTCCCCTTTCTATTCTGAATGACCAGTTTTTGTTGTTAAGGAAGAGAAAATTATAAACCAAGATTAACAACACAGGAAGAAAAAGCAATATTCCACATACAAGCACAGTAAAATCCAGCATCCTCAGTTTGGTGTGATCTCTGGTCTCTGCTCAAGAGAGGCCCGGGTCTGGAATGTTATTTCTCCAGTTCTGGACTCTGCCTCCTGAATTGTGGAAAATAACTTTTACAGAGTCCTGTGGTTTTAAGATATTTCCCCCTCCACCATGATCCTGCCAAGAAGGTGAGCCAAGATGAGCCAGAAAGGGAGCAGCAATTGTTAGATCTTCCCACTGAGTGGCAGCACACAGTGCTCCAGAGGAAAGCACCCTCCTCTACAGGGAAGTGTATATTGTTTCATGTTCTCTGTGTATATAAATCTCCCCACTGTATTTTCCACTGAATGCATCCGATGAAGTGAGCTGTAGCTCACGAAAGCTTATGCTCAAATAAATTTGTTAGTCTCTAAGGTGCCACAAGTCCTCCTTTTCTTTTTGGGGATAAAGACTAACACGGCTGCTACTCTGAAACCTGTCATTATGCAAGGCACTGAATTTAGCTGTAGGGAGTAGAAATCTATCAACTTCATGAAAAAACTCGTACAGATACAGACAGACATCATTTTCCTTTCCAAATGCAAACAGATGGACATCATACCAAAGGGACTGAAGGTAAAAAATCCATTACAATCTACATACCACACAGACTATGCTGACAGCTTGTGCCACACACTCTCAAAGAAACTGCAGAACCACCTGATCAACATCCTCTATAGCAAACAGGGAAAGATTAAGAATGAGCTCTCAAAACTGGATACTCTCATAAAAAACCAAGCTTCCGCACAAACTTCCTCGTGGCTGGACTTTACAAAAACTAGACAAGCCATTTACAGCACACACTTTGCTTCTCTACAAAAGAAAAAGGACACTAAACTATCTAAACTACTACATGCCACAAGAGGCCACAACAGTGTTTCCCTTAACCCACCCAGCAATATTGTTAATCTATCCAAATATACTCTTAGCCCAGCAGAAGAATATGTCCTATCTCGGGGCCTCTCCTTTTGCCCCTCCACCCGCACGAACATGATACAGTTCTGTGGTGACCTAGAATCCTATTTTCGACATCTCCGACTCAAGGAATATTTCCAACAAACCTCTGAACAACATACTAACCCAAAGAGACCTTCCTACCAAGACGACAAAAAGAAGGATTCTGGGTGGACTCCTCCTGAAGGTCGAAACAACAGACTGGACTTCTGCATAGAGTGCTACCACCGACATGCACGGGCTGAAATTGTGGAAAAGCAGCATCACTTGCCCCATAACCTCAGCCGTGCAGAACACAATGCCATCCACAGCCTCAGAAATAACTCTGACATCATAATCAAAAAGGCTGACAAAGGAGGTGCTGTCATCATCATGAATAGGTCAGAATATGAACAAGAGGTTACTAGGCAGCTCTCCAACACCACTTTCTACAAGCCATTACCCTCTGATCCCACTGAGGGTTACCAAAAGAAACTACAGCATTTGCTCAAGAAACTCCCTGAAAAAGCACAAGAACAAATCCGCACAGACACACCCCTGGAACCTCGACCAGGGGTATTCTATCTGCTACCCAAGATCCGTAAACCTGGAAATCCTGGATGCCTCATCATCTCAGGCATGGCACCCTGACAGCAGAATTGTCTGGCTATGTAGACTCCCTCCTCAAGCCCTATGCTACCAGCACTCCCAGCTATCTTCGAGACATCACTGACTGTCTGAGGAAACTACAATCCATCGGTGATCTTCCTGAAAACACCATCCTGGCCACTATGGATGTAGAAGCCCTCTACACTAACATTCCACACAAAGATGGACTACAAGCCATCAGGAACAGTATCCCTGATAATGTCACAGCAAACCTGGTGGCTGAACTTTGTGACTTTGTCCTCACCCATAACTATTTCACATTTGGGGACAATGTATACCTTCAAATCAGCGACACTGCTATGGGTACCCACATGGCCCCACAGTATGCCAACGTTTTTATGGCTGACTTAGAACAACGCTTCCTCAGCTCTCGTCCCCTAATGCCCCTACTCTGCTTGCGGTACATTGATGACATCTTCATCATCTGGACCCATGGAAAAGAAGCCCTTGTGGAATTCCACCACGATTTCAACAATTTCCATCCCCCATCCACCTCAGCCTGGATCAGTCCACACAAGAGATCCACTTCCTGGACACTACGGTGCTAATAAGCGATGGTCACATAAACACCACCCTATACCGGAAACGGAAACCTACTGACCGCTATGCCTACCTACATGCCTCCAGCTTTCATCCAGACCACACCACACGATCCATTGTCTACAGCCAAGCTCTACGATACAACCGCATTTGCTCCAACCCCTCAGACAGAGACAATCACCTACAAGATCTCTATCGAGCGTTCTTACAACTACAGTACCTACCTGTTGAAGTGAAGAAACAGATTGACAGAGCCAGAAGAGTACCCAGAAGTTACCTACTACAGGACAGGCCCAACAAAGAAAATAACAGAACGCCACTAGCCATCACCTTCAGCCCCCAACTAAAACCTCTCCAACACATCATCAAGGATCTACAACCTATCCTGAAGGATGACCCATCACTCACAGATCTTGGAAGACAGGCCAGTCCTTGCTTACAGACAGCCCCCCAACCTGAAGCAAATACTCACCAACAACCACACAACAGAACCACTAACCCAGGAACCTATCCTTGCAACAAAGCCTGTTGCCAACTGTGTCCACATATCTATTCAGGGGACACCATCATAGGGCCTAATCACATCAGCCACACTATCAGAGGCTCGTTCACCTGCACATCTACCACTGTGATATATGCCATCATGTGCCAGCAATGCCCCTCTGCCATGTACATTGGCCAAACTGGACAGTCTCTACGTAAAAGAACAAATGAACACAAATCCGACGTCAAGAATTATAACATTCAAAAACCAGTTGGAGAACACTTCAATCTCTTTGGTCACTCGATTTCAGACCTAAAAGTGGCAATTCTTCAAAAAAAACCTTCAAAAACAGACTCCGAGAGACTGCTGAATTGGAATTAATTTGCAAACTGGATACAATTAACTTAGGCTTGAATAAAGACTGGGAGTGGATGTGTCATTACACAAAGTAAAACTATTTTCCCTTGTTTATTTCCCTCTTCCCCCCTCCCCCACGCTGTTCCTCAGATGTTCTTGTCAACTGCTGGAAATGGCCCACCTTGATTATCACTACAAAAAGACCCCCCACCCCCGCTCTCCTGCTGGTAGTAGCTCACCTTACCTGGTCACTCTCGTTACAGTGTGTATGGTAACACCTATTGTTTCATGTTCTCTGTGTATATAAATCTCCCCACTGTATTTTCCACTGAATGTATCCGATGAAGTGAGCTATAGCTCATGAAAGCTTATGCTCAAATAAATTGGTTAGTCTCTAAGGTGCCACAAGTACTCCTTTTCTTTTTGTATATCTTATGTAACTGATCAATGCCTGACTCCATTTGGCATTTGAAAGCATAACATGAAAATTGGTTACTGGATTTGCAGTTTTCCTACTCGCAAAAAAAGATGTTTCATGCATTTGTCAAAGAATTTTGAAGTCTTGAGAATTACCTCCAGTTTTACATCTGTTTCATGAACTCAAAAATAGGCCCACTTGGACAACAATGAAATTAATTATGATTATTGACCAAGATTTTCTCAAATGAGTAGTGAGTCTGGGAGCCTAACTTGAGCCACTATAAAGAGGCCAGATTTTTTGGAAAGTGCTGAGCAGCTGTCCACTGAAAATTAGGGCTATTGAAATTGTCTCAAGTTGGGCATCCAAAATCAACAGCCACTTGAAAACCTTAGCCGTTGTTCCCAACTCTAGTTAGGAATTAGTAGAAAGTGTATATGCAAGCACCAAAGCTTATAATACAATTCACTCATTCTTTTAAACATAAACTAAAAGAGTAAAGCCAATTCCATTATTTGAAAGAATCTGGGCAGAAATCTTTTATGTCATGCTACAGTTTTGGTGTTCAGTTGCAGGATAGCTTTAACAGATCACTTCTGTGTACCATTGGTGGGCAGGAATTAATGCTGTCAAGGAGAATCACTATGGTCATATATGTATACACCAGATTAATTTTTTAACTTAGAAGGAAATCTGGAACTAATGAAAACTAAAAATAAGTGCATCTATTATTTTATATTACTATAGTTTCAAGTTATCAGAGGGTAGCCGTGTTAGTCTGTATCCACAAAAACAACGAGGGGTCCGATGGCACCTTAAAGACTAACAGATTTATTTTAAATAAATAAAACAAATAAATCTGTTAGTCTTTAAGGTGCCCCTGGATTCCGTGTTGTTTTTATTTTTAGTTGTAACCATTGTGTTTACTTTCCCTTTACATATCCCCTTCCTTCCCCATATTTAAAGTGTATCATTTCTTTATTGCAGATAAAACAGGAAAAGTTATATCTACAGAGTTTTTTGACATGTGGGAAGGAGGTAAGAGCCAAAGGTTACCAAATAAAAGTGGCAGAGGGTCTCTTGTAGACACTTTTCCATACAGAAGACATTTGGACTAAAAGTTTTTTCTTTTTCAATTAAATATTTGATAGTTGCTAAAGATCTCCAAGAATGATCAGTAATTAATCTAAAACAGATGGCAAAACAGATTTATCTCTGCTCATCTGGAGTACAGTTTAATACTAAAAAAAACAACTAAATTGTGTCAGGCCTTTATTTCTAGATTGCTGTGCTGTAGGCAATCAGACTAGATGATCACGATGGTCCCTTCTGATCTTAAAGTCTATGAGTCTAATCTGTCTCCTCCTACTTACTCCAGAGCTCCTGAGAGGTGCTGATTATTCTGTATGCTCACTGTCTTCTGTGGGAGTTGAATGCACTCAGTACCTTTCAGGATTGGGCCCTCTGCCTGGTTATGGGGGAATTATCTGGCTAGAGAAAAATAACTTCTGTTTTTTGGAGAAGCAAAGCTGAAAAGTAGCAATAAACTGAGTATAAGGTGTTTTGTGCATCGGCATGGGGGTAATGAATAATCATTTGTTGTATCGACAGACTTCTCGGGACCCATGACTACTTTCATTAAAAATGCACCTCAAGGGTCACTTCTCTTGATGGTGACCCATGATGACGGAAGCAGCAGGTAAGCAAGAAAGTGTGTACCAGCCCAGTGCTAGAATAATAAATGGCTTGCAACTCAGGGTGGTAACCTTCTGAGAAGCAAAAGTTGTTACAGCTTGAGCTATGATCAGGTTTAATCACTTACCTCCTTCTCTCAGTCATTCGTTGCTGTCCCATTCAACACTTACCCATTTAACGCGGCCTGAACGTCTCAAAAAACACTGAGATTACATGAAATTTGTTCAAACAGTAAAATGTACAAAAGAGAGAGAATCCCTAATAACATAGAATTCTTCTCTCTGCTCCCCTGTGCAAACTCATTGTCTTTTATTAACATCAGTGGAGTTGCACAGGTGTAAGTGGACATAGAATTTGGTTCCATGAATTTTATGGCATATTACTGGACACTTCTCCAGTAGAAGATACAGGAAGGCTTTAAACATTATTCATTAATAGGAAATCAGAAATTACACCATAAAATATCAAGACTATATCCTTTCTTACGTAACTTATTTTTTTGAAAGTTCTGAATTTCAAAGTCTCCAGTGTAAACTTTTTCAACTCTTCTACTAGATTAAAGGATGGTGCAAAAAAAGCAATAGCAGAGCTTGGCAGTAAAGAAATATGGAACTTGAAGTTCAGGTCAAGCTGGGCCTTTATAGCTGCCAAAGGTTTCAACCTACCAGATAACATTCAAAAAGAAAAGGTAGGGTTTATTTTGTTTTCTGTTTTGTTTCTTAAAACTATAATTTTCATAAACCCTTCACAACCTTGTGTTTGTGACTTCTTTCTGGAAACAAGTTTCCAAAAGTGACTAGTCATGTAGGATGTCTCAATTTTTGAAAGCCCAACTTTTGAGACACCTTTAAGGAGGTCTGAATTTCAGAGGGTAGGCGCTCAGCATTTTCTGAAAATCAGGACCCTTTAAGAGTCTCAGGATGGACACCCAGGCAGGGAGATGTCCAAAATCGCAAGTCATTTTTGAAAATCTTGGCTTCTTCAGACTTGACGAAAATTTAACAGGAATCATTTCTGTATCAGAACTTCTCCTCATAGCAGTGGTATTTTAATTTATATGCTCCATACAGTCATCTTTCTGTGATGCAAGGAGGGGGAAAGAAATTGATATGCTTGGCCCAGCTCAGTTTCCACAGATTTCTCTAACTATTCTATTTTCTGAAGATCTATGGAATTATCCCTAGTTTCACATCTTTTCCAGAATGTTGTTTGGGTGTTACTTACTGAAACCGATTACCTACAGGAAAGACTTAAACATCATTGTCCTATACTGTGAGGTCTTCTGGGCAATAAGGGGTTTGGATTATAACATTTTGAGGAATGATTATATAATAGATAATGGGGTGAGGAGGTGCCAGTTTAAGATAAGCAAAATGTGAAGTGTATCTGATGATTTCCAACCCCCTGTCTCCATATCTTTTCCCTCTTGGTACACAGGGAAGCATGAAGTTTTCCAGGATGACAGTCTATAAACAATAAACGGAAGGGGGTTTTTTGTTTGTTTGTTTTTTTAACCAGATCAACCATTCTGAGAATATCAAGAACAGATATAACGGCTGGCCAGCTGAAATCCAGATAGAAGGTTGTATCCCAGTAAACCTGATCTGATCTTACATTTTGCTAATAAAGTCATATAAATTATTTTTATATGTGGTTGCAGTTATAAAATCGATAAGCATCTAAACAGCTGCTATAAACTAATAAAGTAATATATACAGTTTTAACCACTTGTCCTTCAGAGGTGGTGTTCTGCAATTGGTCTGAAAGCAAATACCTGTTTTAATGACAAGTGCAGAGGATAAAATCCATTTTCTGGTCTGTAAGTATGATGGTATGGTAGATCTGCCAGGATTATCAAAATGGTACTGTATTGTCACTGTGAATGGCAAGTCTAATTTTTTACAGGGTGCTTTCTGCTCTAGGTTTTAGGAGGAAACAAGATATAAAACCAAGTTCTATTTCTTCTATCACAGAATTCCTAGAAGTAAAACAGATTACTCTGATGCAGTGAATTAGTAATTCTTTATCTCCTAAGAAAAGTTTGAATTGCCATTACTTTTAATGTACTGATAATTAACCTATTCTAGCTGCGAGTCACTTATAAGAATTCTGTGCTGATGATCTACACCCTTAAATTTTATGGGTTTGCTCCTTCACCCCACCCCCCTTTAACTTACTGAAAAAAACTGTTCAAAGTAACGTCATACAAAAATCACTGTTCAGTCACTGTTGTGTGTGTTGGTTCTCTTCCATTTCCTTTGTTTGGATGTTGCCTGTTTAGACTGTAAGCTCCTCAGGTCAGACATATTATCGTTATATTTGTCTATAAACTACCTAGCAGACTGTTGGTACTACAAACCCCTTAGTAAATTCAGATCAGATCCAGTGTAACACCTGCTGAATGTGGCCTCATTCCTATAATTTATGTAATGAAGTTTTCATCTAGCTATAATGAGGCTGGCTCATACTGTAAGGTAGATTTACTGACATTTGTGGGCTGCTTAGGAAATGTCTGCACTGCAATTAAAAACCCATGGCTGGCCCATAGCAGCTGGCTTGGGTTCATGGGGCTCAGGTGAAAGGGCTGTTTAATTGCGGTTGTATCACCTTTGAGGTTTAGAGAGCATGGCCCCTTTAAATCTTTTTGTCCTGAGGAGGAGGAAGTGGTGATTTGGCAGGAGGGAGCAAAGAGAGAGGGAGACCGACAGGGGGTGTGTGTCTGGAGCTCCAATGGCTACAGCTATTAGGTCTCACAGAGTGAAGCAGCTGAGAACCCACCCGATGCCTGGAAGGCACAGAGCGGCCAATCGGGGACACCCCAGGACGAGCACTGTGTCAGGGAGGAATCACCTGAAAAGGACAAACCGGAGCTAGACCCAGTGTCGCTGCTGCCCAGAGCTGTATGGGGCCATGCGCTGTGTTCCCTCTAAGGTGCGCAGCCGCACACAAGCCCATCTAGGGCTGCGCAGCAGCTGTGCAGGGACGCACACTGGTGAGCGGGGAGAATGTGGAGGGTGGGGGCAGTGGGGTGAGGTGATGAGGGTTTGGGGGAGCTTGGGGCATGCAGCTCGGGGGGGCAGGGGATGGGGAGGGGGAGAGAGAGAGAGATGCCTCTCTGCCCTGGCCCCACCCTCAGGGCTGCACCAGGGACAAGAGATGTGACCCAGGGTGCCTGGGGCAGCCCTCTCTGGAAATGCCAAGGTCAGGGCAGGCTGCACAAGGTAGAGCAGATACTCCCAAGACTGGCGGGTAACACTGAAGTTAAACTCCCCAGCCAGTCTCACACTGTGCTTCTGATCCCCCACACTGGTTATCAAGAAGCAAAAAAGAAATCACACAGCCCCCTTATTGCATTCCAGTTCTCTGGCTCCCAATCAGTACCTAGGTCCTGTAAAGTGAGAAGTTATTTAAAAACCTCTGTTCACATATACAAAATGTTCTTCTGACCCCAAAGGGTCACCCACATCACCAGGTTAGTATAGGTTTGGATCTTACCCAAAGTACCATGCTGCTAGCCAATCCTTTAGTGTCTAAAATTAAAGGATTATAAAGAAAAAAGAACAAGAAGAGAGTTGTTAAATGGTAAAACAGTCACACACATACAAAGACTTCAAAATCCACATATCAGGTTCCTAGCAGTCTTGGTGAATTTGCTGGCTTGAAAGTCCGTCTGGAACACATCCACAGCTTGGTTACTCCAGAGGTAAGAAGCAGGACTGAAGACAAAATGGATAAGATGCAGCTGCCTTTTATAGTCTTTTGCCATGCGGCTTGTGCTTGTGCTTCCTTTTGTTCCAAACACAAGCTGCCAAGCACATGACCTGGAAGCCTTCGAGTTCTGTCCATAGGCATGCCCCTGCATGCCTTGCTGAGTCATAAGGTGTAGCTCTTGACCTTTTCAATGGGTTCATTGTACAGTTGATGTCCTTAATGGGCCATCAAGCAGGCTAGGCAGTTCTGATGCCAAACTATCTGAGGGTGTCACTGTCACACAGAAGCATAGCACAAGTTTGAAATACAGACATACATACACATCTATAACTCATAATACAAATGTGATACAAACATATAAACAAGATTATCATAGTTGGCAAACTAACATTTTTGCAGATACTTTACATGGCATATCTGGCACAACTCATTGCAATTTTACAATATTGATATTAATAAGATCCTAAAGTGTCCCCCAGGAGAGATGTGCTTCTTCCCTGGCCCCAGCTCCAGCCAGGGCTGTGGCGGTAAAAAGAGAGACACATCTCATCCCCGGCCTGTGACAGGGACAAGAGATGGCTCTCTACCCCAGCTCCAGCTGGGGAGAGACGCTTGTCTCTCTCTCTATCTCCCTCTCTCTCTCTCACACACACACACACACTGTGTCCGTGTGTGTGTGTGTGTGTGTCTCTCTCTCTCTCCACACACACACACACACACACACATACACTCACCTCCCAACACATACTTGTAGTGTTGTTGTTTCTACTTCATACTTCCTGCAATGCACGTATATTCTGTGTAATTTTATTCTTTCAAAGTGCTATTTTATTTTTTTGTCTGGTCTATGCATTTCATAATTTTTATTTCTCTTATGCTTAAATTTAATTTTTTGAGTAGTGAGTTCTAAAATGCCTAACCTGTCCTGGCTGAAGTAATTATCCCTATGGTAACTTTTTAAAAATATATTCTATCTAGGTTTTTTGTTTCTACTCGTGGCGCACATCTGCACATTACCTTGATATTGGTGCACATAACAAAATTCAATCCGCATATGGGTGGAAAAAATTGGAGGGAACGTTGGCCATGAGTACCTGGGCTTGTGACTTTGCATTGGGAATAAGGAGGGAGGCTGTAGCTGGCCACGCTGGGAGGTTATCGCTCTGTGTGGCTTTGCAGAGAGCAGCAGAAGAGGGCACCAGACAGGTTTGTTGGGGAAAGTTTTCTATTGCCGAAGACGACCAGGAGCACCCAAGACTCACCACTGGACTGGAACTTTGCCCAGGATTCCTGAACTCTGAGTGTAGACGTATTGCTCAGTGCCCTTTCAGACTGTGCTACCACTGGGCCTGTGGGACCTTGGGTTCAATGTAACCCTGTTTTATCTCTCCCCTTATCTCCACCCCCTGTTGTTTTTTCTCCTTTTGTCCTTCTGTAAATCAATATTTCCCTTTCCTATATTTATTGTACTTTCGGGGCGGGGTGTGCGTACGTGTATATTCACTCTGGGGGGTTTGGAACTGGTGCTGCTGGGGTGGAAGGGACTTTGCCTGCTGCATTCCTGTACGCGCCGTCTCTTGGCCAGAGCTGCCTGCAGAGCAGACTCCATCTTGGCCATGAGGGCACTGAAGTTACACGGCATAGATGTTCGAGCACGGGATCTGGGGCCTTGCAAGGCAGGAAGGTCCCAGAGCTCAGGCTGTAGCCTGAGCCCAAATGTGTACACAGCAGAGGAGCAGCCCATTAGTCTGAGCCCCATGAGCCTGGGTCAGCTGACACGAGCCAGCCATGGGTGTTTAATTGCTGTGTAAACAGACCATTAGCAGTGGACATGTCTTCATGACTGCTCTTCTAAGCACATTGGATGATGTACCGAGAGAGTGGGAAGTTGATCAAACTGGTTTTGTCTTTAATGTGAGCTTGTGATGGACGCTGTTTTCTGAAGCTATGGAGATGCAGCAGCCGCCAATGTTCTGGAGGAGATTTGGGGACTGTGTAATGCAATGGCGCCAGCAGCTTTGTGCTGCTGTGCAAGTACAAAGCAGCCAGAAAGCTGCTTTGCACTTGCACAGCCGGGACCCTGGGCCAGGAGCGGAGCTGGATGGCACTCCCTCCCCACCCCACATGTGGCCCCAGCTGTGGCCCCAGCCATGTCCCCCTGATTTTTCCTCCTCACCCCTGTAGGGGCACGCCCCACAGATTGGGAACCTCTGCCTTAGAGACATGGGCAGTTAGGTGGGAATTACAACAATCCTTTCTACCTGTGAACTGCACCAAGTTCAGCTTGGATGCAACTCAGAATTGGACCAGTGTTGTTCCTTCAGGCTTGTACCTCATGGAAGTAGGATAGAACAAATCCCAGAGGGCTGGGTTGGTGTAGGTATAGAGTTTATGTAACCTTGATCAAGGACTTTCAACCTCACTTTATTGAAGGAAAGTGCTAGTGTTTGGAGGAAGAAACTGGCCCTCAGGACAACATCACTGGACTTGGATGGGGAAGAGAGGAAAGAATTGGACATTACCAAGAGAAGAGTGAAAGAGGAAAATTTGAGGAACAGTCAAGAGCCAGGATCACTGAAAATTCAGTTTTCCTTCTATACGAGGAGATCTTTAAAGTATCCAGGGGTAGCTGTGTTAGTCTGTATCCACAAAAACAACAAGCACTCTTTGTTTTAGAGTTTAAGTTGTATTACTGCTTTCTACAGCTAGGAGACAGTAGGAACTCACTAATTTCTACTCTTACACACAAAATGGTGTTCTCTTCTCCATTTAGCAAAGATCTCATAGCAAAGCATTGTAGAGGTTTTTGTAAAATGCACTACAGAACCTTTACTATTATATGGTGTTATATGGCATTGGTGCTCTGTGGTGGTGGAGCCCTCTTTGGTAGGAGGGTGTCCAAGGTACAGGGTCTGGAGTGGAGAAGAGTACAAATATGTGCATGCGGACTCCTGGAGGGTAACAAAAAATCCCTAAGCTCATCTAAAGATTGCCCCATCTTGTAAATTAAAACAAAAATTTTTGTTTTTGTTTGTTTTTAACTTAAGCACTTACCACTAGAGATGTTCAGTCTGGTGTTTCAAACACTGCCACATTTTATTTACATTTAACTTATGCACGGTAGATCTTGCACAAGTTGGACTAATGATGGCATGTTACTGAATTGGCAGATAAGTGAAAACACTTAAAACCAATAGTAAATGCATCATAAAATGTATTTTGTTCTTTTAACAAGTGTATTCTAGTTTTAAATATTTATCATACTTCATAGTGGACTAGGTAGCTAATCTTATTTCCTTGTTTTCCCATTTGCAGTATTACAGAGCAGAGTCAAATGTCAAGTTGACTGTTCTAAATCATAACTCACTTTTAATGTCATCAGTTTATTTAAAAACTCATAGTACATGTGACTTGGTTTATTATATTTAAAAGCAAAACTGCAAACCAGAAGGCAGCAAAATATTTCCAATCTATGTTGGGTTTTTTTGATAACTATTTTCTCTCAAAAGTGTTTGTAAATGTACATGCAGCACTGATTGGGTGTGTGTGTTGATATAAATTGGAAAGAATAAATACCTGCTAACGTAATACTATAGTTTTACTTATAGCTAGTAAACAAGTAGTTTTATCTACAACTTGCTCCATCTCAATTGTTTCTTGCACCTTACTGGTGGCAGGCTTTAGTTTTTCTCTTTAATTGTCCTGATTAGTTTAGAGGGATAATTATATTTTAGAATAGATTTATAACATGCTTGATTTAACCATGGAACTGCTTCCATTTTTTTAATGTATGTATATGTAATGCATGTCTATAAAGTGTCAACCATTTATTCCTTTAGAAATACAGTACATTGTTCTGTAAAACAGGACAATATTTTAAGCAGCAGGACCTATGTTTAGTTTTTTGTATAGGTAGATGGCACTTAGAATGAGCATACTATGCCTCCTTGGTGAGCTCGAGCATCCCATCAGTGCAGTAAGTGGCAAGTTTTGGCTCTGTATCATCTAGGAGATTACCTTGTTTACTGGAAGTAATATAGAGCCTGCTCCTGATTCCACTAAGAGCAAGTGAGAGCAAGGCTGATCCCTCCTTAGGACCTTGATTCAGCTAATCATTTAATGACCCGTTTAAGTGCTTAGCTGAGCTTTGGGCCTAACTAACTAGTAGTGTTCATGTAGTGCATTCTTCTATGAATGTTAATAAAAATGTATTGTGCAATTTGCGTGGCTTGACCTTATATGATTCAGCTGGTAAAGAGATTATCAGGCCCACTAGAGCAGTGGTTCTCAACCAGGGGCACATGTAGCCCTCGGGCTATGCAGAGGTCTTCCAGGGAGCACATCTAGATATTTGTCTAGTTTTACAACAGGCTACATAAAAAGCACTCGTGAAGTCAGTGCAAACTAAAATTTCATACAGTGACTTGTTTTATATTGCTCTATATACTATACACTGAAACGTAAGAACAATATATTCCAATTGGTTTATTTTATAATTATATGGTAAAAATGAGAAAGTAAGCCATTTGTCAGTACTAGTGTGCTGTGCCACTTTTATGTCTGATTTTGTAAACAAGTAGTTTTTAAATGAGGTGAAACTTGGGTTTACGCAAGACAAATCAGACTCCTGGAAGGAGTGACTTTAATTTTCTTGATATCTGCTGGGAGAGCAATACAGCGGTGCATAGACAATCCAGGAAGTTTTTGGAAAGCGTAGGGGACAATTTCTAAGTGCTGGAGGAGCCAACTAGGGGGGGCGCTTTTCTTGACCTGCTGCTCACAAACCGGGTAGAATTAGTGGGGGAAGCAAAAGTGGATGGGAATCTGGGGGGCAGTGACCATGAGTTGGTTGAGTTCAGGATCCTGACACAGGGAAGAAAGGTAAGCAGCACGATACGGACCCTGGACTTCAGGAAGCAGACTTCGACTCCCTCAGGGAACGGATGGCCAGGATCCCCTGGGGGACTAACTTGAAGGGGAAAGGAGTCCAGGAGAGCTGGCTGTATTTCAAGGAATCCCTGTTGAGGTTACAGGGACAAACCATCCCGATGAGTCGAAAGAATAGTAAATATGGTAGGCGACCAGCTTGGCTTAATGGTGAAATCTTAGCGGATCTTAAACATAAAAAGAAGCTTACAAGAAGTGGAAGGTTGGACATATGACCAGGGAAGAGTATAAAAATATTGCTAGGGCATGTAGGAATGTTATCAGGAGGGCCAAATCGCACCTGGAGCTGCAGCTAGCCAGAGATGTCAAGAGTAACAAGAAGGGTTTCTTCAGGTATGTTGGCAACAAGAAGAAAGCCAAGGAATGTGTGGGCCCCTTACTGAATGAGGGAGGCAAACTAGTGACAGAGGATGTGGAAAAAGCTAATGTACTCAATGCTTTTTTTGCCTCTGTTTTCACTAACAAGGTCAGCTCCCAGACTGCTACCTGGGCATCACAAAATGGGGAAGAGATGGCCAGCCCTCTGTGGAGATAGAGGTGGTTAGGGACTTTTAGAAAAGCTGGAGTCACAAGTCCATGGGGCCGGACGAGTTCATCCGAGAGTGCTGAAGGAACTGGCGGCTGTGATTGCAGAGCCATTGGCCATTATCTTTGAAAACTGTCGAACGGGAAGTCCCGGATGACTGGAAAAAGGCTAATGTAGTGCCAATCTTTAAAAAAGGGAAGAAGGAGGATCCTGGAACTACAGCAGTCAGCCTCACTTCAGTCCCTGGAAAAATCATGGAGCAGGTCCTCAAAGAATCAATCCTGAAGCACTTGCATGAGAGGAAAGTGATCAGGAACAGCCAGCATGGATTCACCAAGGGAAGGTCATGCCTGACTAATCTAATCGCCTTCTATGATGAGATTACTGGTTCTGTGGATGAAGGGAAAGCAATGGATGTATTGTTTCTTGACTTTAGCAAAGCTTTTGACACATCTCCCACAGTATTCTTTCAGCAAGTTGAGGAAGTATGGGCTGGATGAATGCACTACAAGGTGGGTAGAAAGCTGGCTAGATTGTCGGGCTCAACGGGTAGTGATCAATGGCTCCATGTCTAGTTGGCAGGGTATCAAGTGGAGTGCCCCAAGGGTGTCCTGGGGCGGTTTTGTTCAATATCTTCATAAATGATCTGGAGGATGGTGTGGATTGCACTCTCAGCAAATTTGCGGATGATACTAAACTGGGAGGAGTGGTAGATACGCTGGAGGGGAGGGATAGGATACAGAAGGACCTAGACAAATTGGAGGATTGGGCCAAAAGAAATCTGATGAGGTTCAATAAGGATAAGTGCAGGGTCTGCACTTAGGACGGAAGAACCCAATGCACAGCTACAGACTAGGGACCGAATGGCTAGGCACAGTTCTGCGGAAAAGGACCTAGGGGTGACAGTGGACGAGAGCTGGATATGAGTCAGCAGTGTGCCCTTGTTGCCAAGAAGCCAATGGCATTTTGGGATGTATAAGTAGGGGCATAGCGAGCAGATCGAGGACGTGATCGTTCCCCTCTATTCGACATTGGTGAGGCCTCATCTGGAGTACTGTGTCCAGTTTTGGGCCCCACACTTCAAGAAGGATGTGGATAATTTGGAGAGAGTCCAGCGAAGGGCAACAAAAATGATTAGGGGTCTGGAACATATGAGTTATGAGGAGAGGCTGAGGGAGCTGGGATTGTTTAGCCTGCAGAAGAGAAGAATGAGGGGGGATTTGATAGCTGTTTTCAACTACCTGAAAGGCGGTTCCAAAGAGGATGGCTCTAGACTGTTCTCAATGGTATCAGATGACAGAACGAGGAGTAATGGTCTCAAGTTACAGTGGGGGAGGTTTAGATTGGATATTAGGAAAAACTTTTTCACTATGAGGGTGGTGAAACACTGGAATGCGTTACCTAGGGAGGTGGTAGAATCTCCTTCCTTAGAGGTTTTTAAGGTCAGGCTTGACAAAGCCCTGGCTGGGATGATTTAACTGGGAATTGGTCCTGCTTTGAGCAGGGGGTTGGACTAGATGACCTTCTGGGGTCCCTTCCAACCCTTATATTCTTTGATTCTATGATTCTATGATTCTAAGGGGTCCAGTTATTGGGAAAAGGTTGAGAGCCACTGCTCTAGATCTATGGCTTGTACTATATCTACCAGAGTTATATCAGACATGAACTTTTTGCTAGCTACTTAGTACTCATTAGTAGCTATAATGGGCCTGATCCTTGGCAGATATAAATCAGCATAGCTCCACTAACTTCAATGAAGCACTACTGATTTACACTAGGTGAGTATCAACTCTCCATAGGTGATATCTGTACTGCCACAAGTACATAACCTCCCTTCCGCAGGCTACATTGCCCATAAAGCTGTAGAGGCAGCATCCTGACTACATCCTTTTGGGTTCTCACATGGCTACAGCTGAAGGCATTAAGACAACATCCAGGTAAATCATGTTATGAGGAACTCCTCTCAGCTTGATTTTGGTGCTTATCTGGAGCAAGGAATGCTGTTTAGAGAGGTATTTCAACACAAGCCATTATCTACAGGGCCCTGTAGCACATAAGAGTGAAGTGCCTCAGTTATCCTCTCACTCTCCAAGGTAAAAACCCTAACTTGCTGGTCTTGCTTCACCTTCTGTCACAAGAAGCAGTGGCTTAAGTATATCACGGCTCACTCTTGACCATTTCAGTAGAATTTAGCAACTGTCCTTGCACCCTATCCCCTTTTGTAGTAACACAGTGTAGAGAGAGATGGCACAAATGACCCATTAAAAATATTGAATCTGCTGCAACTGATTTTCCTATTTAACTGTATTGTGTAAGAGCATGAAATGCATTTCACAATCTTGATATGGCTATTAATACTTTTTTATTCTTATGGCTCTATTGCAGGACCTTCAGATGGGGAGATATCAGAACAATTAGATATCTGTGCTGCATAAAACAATATTTTACACTGATCAATAACTAATTCTCTGGGTCCTGAATGTGACCTCATGTATTTGATGCTACCAATCTCAAAGTAGAAAGTTTTATTGCGCTATTAGAAGAAAAAAAATACAGGAAAGGAAAAACATTTAATAACCAAAGGGTCCTGCTTTGAGCAGGGGGTTGGACTAGATGACCTCCTGAGGTCCCTTCCAACTCTGATATTCTATGATAAGTGTAGCAAATGCCATCTATGGCACACCCTGATACCCTTACTTACAGCTTACACACTCTTTGCTCAGGCACAAGTCCCACTGATTTAAGTCCGATTGAAAGAATAGCAAGTGAAGCAGCACTCTCGGGTATGCATAATGCTTGTTTAGAAATGAGCAGGCAGGCTCAAAAGTTCCAGCCATTTTGACTAGCTGCAGCTGAAATGCTGAAAGAGACTAGAAATAAGGGGGTTAATGTTGGATCTCTTGTATAACATTCCAGCGAGAACAGCTTGTCCATTCCTAGAAACATTAACTTTTGGTTTCATTTCTCCACTGAAATGTAAGACAGCAAAACTGTATGTAACCCTTCTGCCCCTCAGAGTTAGCAGCAACAAGGGCAGGATTCAGTATCTAGGGGTTCCTTTTCAATAACACAAGGCAAAACCAGCTCAAGCCCCCATCCAGTGAGCTGGGACAATTACATACCACCATCCCCACCCCTCCAGGTGCCGCTAAAAGGCAATACTTCCCCTCTCATAAGCACCGAGTCTGAGTATAGCAAAAGCCTTTTAATAAAGAAGGGAAACAATGTGGGATTATGTGGGGAAACACCACAAACAAGATTCATAACATAAACCATGAGCAAAAGATCCACCCCCAAGTAAGTTTGGCAGTGTCCTTTTCACCTCAGGGTCTTAAGTCCAGCAACCCAAATGTCACCCCACCCATGGTTTTTGCCCTTGGTCAGTGCAACCTCAAAGTTCAGAAGTTCATCTGCAGAGTTTACCTCCCAGCCTGAGGGGAAGGGGGGGAGGTATGGGAGCACCTTACATGCTCTGCTGATCGGGTTGACGGCCGATTGCCACGCCTCTCTGTGGGGTTCTGCTGCAGTCTTCACCTCCAGTCGTGCCTCTCCACCAGCTGTCCTGCTAGCCGCTCACCAATAATGTCAGCCCCCGCTACTTAACACAGCTCTCAGTGATTTCAGCTCTTAGTAACTTTAGCTCTTTAGAGTGGTAGCCATGTTGGTCTGTATCAGCAAAAACAATGAGGCGTCCTTGTGGCACCTTAGAGACTAACAAATTTATTTGGGCATAAGCTTTCGTGGGCTAAAACCCACTTCATTAGATGCATGGAGTGGAAAATACAGGAACAGGTATAAATACATGAAAAGATGGGAGTTGCCTTACCAAGTGTGAGGTCAGTCTAACGAGACAATTCAATTAAGAGTAGGATACCAAGGGAGGAAAAATAACTTTTGAAGTGGTAATGAGAGTGACCCATTTCAAACAGTTGACAAGAAGGTGTGAGTAACAGTAGGGGGAAATTAGGTTTAGGTTTTGTAATGACCCAACCACTCCGTCTTTATTCAGGCCTAATTTGGTGGTGTCCAGTTTGCAAATTAATTCCAGTTCTGCAGTTTCTACTGTCCTTGATTCATGTAACCAAGATAACAACACTTTATTACTCCTGCCCCAATAACAAAGAGACTGGGGATCCCACAGCAGCCAAAGTGACCATTTGGGCCAACAGTCCCATCATGCTAGGCAGGGTGGGTGCACTCATGCAAATGAGATCAGCCTCTGAAGTCCTTTTCCACAGCTCACCATCAGATGTCAGGGTAGAGCTCATTCTGACTCTGCTTACATGTAGTTATAAGGGATACAGTATGAGAAGGCTGTTTAACTGAGGGAGATTCACAGCAGCAGAAGAAATGGTAGAATCATTTGATTCCCCTGTATTAAATGTTTTCAGTTGCGCTGTCAACAATTCTTTTAACTTAGACAAGTTTTTTTATATATATAAAGAGTAATAGGATGGGCATTGGAGGTGCAAGCTTAGGGAATACAGCAGAATTGAGCTACTAAAGGTGAAGGTTACAAGTTACTTTATATATTTCTTGCTATAAAGGTTATCTGTAGTATCAGTTCATCCTGTTTGTTCCATCATAGCCTCCTCATAGCTCAGTTGCAAGTCTAAGGCAGTAAGTCTTTCCATTTCTCCTAATGAATTCATTCTTTTGAGTCACATTTCCATAGAAGGGTATTTGATTTTGCACCCATAGTACTGAAATACAGTTGTCAGCTGCATTTGGGAGATTTCAAATATATGACCTGTTAGACTGAACTAAGGCAGAAAGACATCTGTGTGGGCCAGTCTGATACTTTTACATTGGATACTACCTTACTCTGCAAAAACTCCAAGTGAGATCAATGGAGCTACTTCTGGAGTAAGGTTCTACTCAGCTTGAGTAAAGGCATCACAATCTGGCCTATACTGGCTATTTTAAAAGACTGAAATAAATTAAATTCTAAGAACTGTTCCTATGAAGGACAATAATGAAACCACCACTAACCAAACTGATACATGAGCTTTTTATGTTTGACAAAAATTGGCTACCCACTATGTTTCAGTCAAAGCTAATGTGTGTATTTTAAACCATCTGCTTCTGAGCCCTGGTTTACACTACGAGTTTAGGTCAAATTTAGCAGAGTTAGATCAATTTAACCCTGCACCCATCCACACGACACAGCCATTTGTGTCAACTTAAAGGGCTCTTAAAATCGATTTCTGTACTCCTCCCCGATGAGGGGTTTAGCACTGAAATCAACATCGCCGGGTTGAATATGTGGTAGTGTGGATGCAATTAGACGGTATTGACCTCCAGGAGCTATCCCAGAGTGCTCCATTGTGACAGCTCTGGACAGCACTTTCAACTCAGATGCACTAGCCAGGTACACATGAAAAGCACCGGGAACTTTTGAATTTCATTTCCTGTTTGGCCAGCGTGGTGAGCTCATCAGCAGAGGTGACCATGCAGTCCCAGAATCGCAAACGAGCTCCAGCATGGACCGAACGGAAGACACTGGATCTGATCGCTGTATGGGGAGACGAATCCGTCTCTGGCAGAACTCTGACAGAACTCTGACAACTCTGACATTTGACAAAATGCCAAAATATTTGAAAAAAATCTCCAAGGGCATGATGGACAGAGGCTATCACAGGGACCTGCAGCAGTGCCGTGTGAAACTTAAGGAGCTCAGGCAAGTCTACCAAAGAGGCAAACAGCCGCTCTGGGTCAGAACCCCAGACATGCCGCTTCTATGATGAGCTGCATGCAATTCTAGCGGGTGCTCCTACCACTACCCCACCTCTGTACATGGACTCCTGCAAGGGGGGAGTCTCGCGCAACAGGGATGAGGATTTTGAGGACGAGGAAGATGAGGAGGAGGCGGAGGATGAAACCATTCTCCCGGATAGCCAGGAACTGTTTATCACCCTGGAGCCAATAGCCTCCCAACCCGGGCTCCCGGACCATGACGCTGGAGAAGGCACCTCTGGTGAGTGTGCCTTTGTAAATATAACACATGGTTTAAAAGCAAGCGTGTTTAATGATTAATTTGCCCTGAAGACTTGGGATGCATTCTCAGCCAGTAGAGCTACTGGAAAAGTCTGTTAACATGTCTGGGGATGGAGCAGAAATCCTCCAGGGACATCTCCATGAAGCTCTCCTGGATGTACTCCCAAAGCCTTTGCAAAAGGTTTCTGGGGAGGGCAGCCTTATTCTATCCTCCATGGTAGGACACTTTACCATGCCAGGCCAGTAGCACGGAGTCTGGAATCATTACGTAACAAAGCATGGCAGCATATGGTCCCGGTGTTTGCTGGCATTCAGGCAACACCCATTCTTTATCTCTGTTTGTTATCCTCAGGAGAGTGATATTGTTCATGGTCACCTGGTTGAAATAGGGGAGTTTTATTAAGGGGACATTCAGAGGTGGCCGTTTATGCTGGGCTGTTTGCCTGTGGCTGAAAAGAAATCATCCCTGTAGTTAGCCACGTGGTGGAGGGAGGGGTGAAGTGATCATTCCAGAGAACTGGGTGTGGGGGGCGTGGGGGGGATTTAGTTGGGTTTGTGCTGCACGTTAACCCGAAAACTGCAGCCCCTCCTTTGAAATGGCCAACTCATTTTAAATGGCCAACCCAATGGGTGCTTGGTATGGGAAATGAGGGCTCTGCTGTTTGAAACCATCCCCACGTGTTATGAAGGTGCTATGTAATGTTAACAGCTTGGTTCACCGTGAAAGAGTCTACCCATTGTTCTCTAAAATGTGTCTTTTTAAATACTACTCTCCCTTGTTTTCCTCCTGCAGCTGGAAATGTTTCAATGCTCCACCTATCATCTCCATCCCAGAGGCTAGCGCAGATAAGAAGGTGAAAAAAATGCACTTGCGATTAAATGTTCTCTGAGCTCATGCAGTCCTCCCGCACTGAAAGAGCTCAGCATAATGCATGGAGGCAAACAATGGCAGAGTCCAGAAAAGCAGAAAATGAACGCGAGGACAGGAGGGATGAGCAAGAGGAGAGGTGGAGGCAGCGTGATGACAGGCAGGATGCAATGCTGAGGCTACTGGAGGATCAAACTGATATACTCTGGCATATGGTTGAGCTGCAGGAAAGGCAGCAGGATCACAGATTGCCACTGCAGCCCCTGTTTAACCGCCCTCCCTCCTTCCCAAGTTCTATAGCCTCCTCACCCAGATACCCAAGAACGTGGGGCGGGGGGCTCTGGGCACCCAGCCACTCCACCCCAGAGGATTGCCCAAGCAACAGAAGGCTGGCATTCAATAAGTTTTGAAGTACAGTCTGGCCTTGTCCTCCCCTCCTCTATGACCCCACCCGGTGCTTCCCTCCTCCCCCACCCCTCTCGGGCTACCTTGGCAGTTATCCCCCTCTTTGTGTGACAAATTAATAAAGAATGCATGATTTTGAAACAACGTTTATTGCCTCTGCAAGTGGTGATCGAAGGGGGAAGATTGGTTGGCTTACAGGGGAGTAGAGTGAACCAAGGGGACAGGTTTTCATCAAGGAGAAACAAACAGAACTGTCACACCGTAGCCTGGTCAGTCATGAAACAAGTTTTCAAAGCTTCTCTGATGCTCAGCGTGCCCTGCTGTGCTCTTCTAACCACCCTGGTGTCTGGCTGCATGTAATTAGTGGCCAGGCGATTTGCCTCAACCTCCCACCCCGCCATATACGTCTCCCCTTTACTCTCACAGAGATTGTGGAGCACACAGCAAGCAGCAATAACAATGGGAATATTGGTTATGCTGAGGTCTAACCGAGTCAGTAAACAGCGCCAGCACACTTTTAAGCATCCAAATGCACATTTTACCGCTGTTCTACACTTGCTCAGCCTATAGTTGAACAGCTCCTGACTATTGTCCGGGGTGCCTGTGTATGGCTTCATGAGCCATGGCATTAAGGGGTAGGCTGGGTCCCCAAGGATAACTATAGGCATTTCAACATCCCCAATGGTTATTTTCTGGTCTGGGAAGTAAGTCCCTTCCTGCAGCTGTTCAAACAGACCAGAGTTCCTGAAGATGCGAGCGTCATGTACCTTTCCCGGCCATCCCACGTTGATGTTGGTGAAACATCTGTTGTGATCCACCAGTGTTTGCAGCACCACTGAAAAGTACCCCTTGCAGTTTATGTACTGGCTGCCAAGGTGGTCCGGTCCCGAGATAGGGATATGCGTTCTGTCTATCGCCCCACCACAGTTAGGGAATGCCATTGCAGCAAAGCCATCCACTATGACCTGCACATTTCCCAGAGTCGCTACCCTTGATAGCAGCAGCTCAGTGATTGTGTTGGCTACTTGGATCACAGCAGCCCCCACAGTAGATTTGCCCACTCCAAACTGATTCCCGACTGACCGGTAGCTGTCTGGAGTTGCAAGCTTCCACAGGGCTATCACCACTCGCTTGTGAACTGTGAGAGTTGCTCTCATCTTGCTATTCTTGAGCTTCAGGGCAGGGGAAAGCAAGTCACAAAGTTCCATGAAAGTCCCGTACGCATGCGATGATTCCCAGTCGCAGCTACTGGGAATCATCCCAGACCTGCAACACTATGCAGTCCCACCAGTCTGTGCTTGTTTCCCAGGCCCAGAATTGACGTTCCACAGCATGTGCCTCCCCCATTGCCACCATGATGTCCAAATTGCCGGGGCTCGTGCTTTGAGAGAAGGCTGTGTCCATGTCCTTATCACTCTCGTCACCACGCTGCCGTCATCTCCTCGCCTGCTTTTGCAGGTTCTGGTTCTGCACATACTGCAGGATAATGCGCGAGGTGTTTACAATGCTCAGAACTACCGCGGTGATCTGAGCGGGCTCTGTGCTTGCCATGGTATGGCATCATGGGTGACTTTAATTTTCCTGATATCTGCTGGGAGAGCAATACAGCGGTGCATAGACAATCCAGGAAGTTTTTGGAAAGCGTAGGGGACAATTTCCTGGCGCAAGTGCTAGAGGAGCCAACTAGGGGGGGCGCTTTTCTTGACCTGCTGCTCACAAACCGGGTAGAATTAGTGGGGGAAGCAAAAGTGGATGGGAATCTGGGAGGCAGTGACCATGAGTTGGTTGAGTTCAGGATCCTGACGCAGGGAAGAAAGGTAAGCAGCAGGATACGGACCCTGGACTTCAGGAAAGCAGACTTCGACTCCCTCAGGGAACGGATGGCCAGGATCCCCTGGGGGACTAACTTGAAGGGGAAAGGAGTCCAGGAGAGCTGGCTGTATTTCAAGGAATCCCTGTTGAGGTTACAGGGACAAACCATCCCGATGAGTCGAAAGAATAGTAAATATGGCAGGCGACCAGCTTGGCTTAATGGTGAAATCCTAGCGGATCTTAAACATAAAAAAGAAGCTTACAAGAAGTGGAAGGTTGGACATATGACCAGGGAAGAGTATAAAAATACTGCTCGGGCATGTAGGAATGATATCAGGAGGGCCAAATCGCACCTGGAGCTGCAGCTAGCAAGAGATGTCAAGAGTAACAAGAAGGGTTTCTTCAGGTATGTTGGCAACAAGAAGAAAGCCAAGGAAAGTGTGGGCCCCTTACTGAATGAGGGAGGCAACCTAGTGACAGAGGATGTGGAAAAAGCTAATGTACTCAATGCTTTTTTTGCCTCTGTTTTCACTAACAAGGTCAGCTCCCAGACTGCTGCGCTGGGCATCACAAAATGTGGAAGAGATGGCCAGCCCTCTGTGGAGATAGAGGTGGTTAGGGACTATTTAGAAAAGCTGGACGTGCACAAGTCCATGGGGCCGGACGAGTTGCATCCGAGAGTGCTGAAGGAATTGGCGGCTGTGATTGCAGAGCCATTGGCCATTATCTTTGAAAACTCGTGGCGAACGGGGGAAGTCCCAGATGACTGGAAAAAGGCTAATGTAGTGCCAATCTTTAAAAAAGGGAAGAAGGAGGATCCTGGGAACTACAGGCCAGTCAGCCTCACCTCAGTCCCTGGAAAAATCATGGAGCAGGTCCTCAAAGAATCAATCCTGAAGCACTTGCATGAGAGGAAAGTGATCAGGAACAGCCAGCATGGATTCACCAAGGGAAGGTCATGCCTGACTAATCTAATCGCCTTTTATGATGAGATTACTGGTTCTGTGGATGAAGGGAAAGCAGTGGATGTATTGTTTCTTGACTTTAGCAAAGCTTTTGACACGGTCTCCCACAGTATTCTTGTCAGCAAGTTAAGGAAGTATGGGCTGGATGAATGCACTATAAGGTGGGTAGAAAGCTGGCTAGATTGTCGGGCTCAACGGGTAGTGATCAATGGCTCCATGTCTAGTTGGCAGCCGGTATCAAGTGGAGTGCCCCAAGGGTCGGTCCTGGGGCCGGTTTTGTTCAATATCTTCATAAATGATCTGGAGGATGGTGTGGATTGCACTCTCAGCAAATTTGCGGATGATATTAAACTGGGAGGAGCGGTAGATACACTGGAGGGGAGGGATAGGATACAGAAGGACCTAGAAAAATTGGAGGATTGGGCCAAAAGAAATCTGATGAGGTTCAATAAGGATAAGTGCAGGGTCCTGCACTTAGGATGGAAGAATCCAATGCACCGCTACAGACTAGGGACCGAATGGCTAGGCAGCAGTTCTGCGGAAAAGGACCTAGGGGTGACAGTGGACGAGAAGCTGGATATGAGTCAGCAGTGTGCCCTTGTTGCCAAGAAGGCCAATGGCATTTTGGGATGTATAAGTAGGGGCATAGCCAGCAGATCGAGGGACGTGATCGTTCCCCTCTATTCGACATTGGTGAGGCCTCATCTGGAGTACTGTGTCTAGTTTTGGGCCCCACACTACAAGAAGGATGTGGATAAATTGGAGAGAGTCCAGCGAAGGGCAACAAAAATGATTAGGGGTCTGGAACACATGACTTATGAGGAGAGGCTGAGGGAGCTGGGATTGTTTAGCCTGCAGAAGAGAAGAATGAGGGGGGATTTGATAGCTGCTTTCAACTACCTGAAAGGGGGTTCCAAAGAGGATGGCTCTAGACTGTTCTCAATGGTAGCAGATGACAGAACGAGGAGTAATGGTCTCAAGTTGCAGTAGGGGAGGTTTAGATTGGATATTAGGAAAAACTTTTTCACTAAGAGGGTGGTGAAACACTGGAATGCGTTACCTAGGGAGGTGGTAGAATCTCCTTCCTTAGAGGTTTTTAAGGTCAGGCTTGACAAAGCCCTGGCTGGGATTATTTAACTGGGAATTGGTCCTGCTTCGAGCAGGGGGTTGGACTAGATGACCTTCTGGGGTCCCTTCCAACCCTGATATTCTATGATTCTATGATCTGCAGGAAAGCAGAACTGCAGCGGAAGCGGTGGATGACAGTGGTTAGCAGGCCTACTTCACTGTCTGCTGCCAGCAGCACCAGGACACAACAGTGGCGGTGTCGGTGAGCTGAGCTGAGCAGGTTGCACGCTTGTCATGGTATGGTGTCTGCAGGAGAGCAGAGTTGCAGCGGAAGTGGTGGATGACGATGGTTTGCAGTCCTACTGCACCGTCTGCTGAAAGCAGTATGGCGTCCACATGGAAAAAAGGCATGAAACGATTGTCTGCCGTTGCTTTCATGGAGGGAGGGGTGACTGACGACATGTACCCAAAACCACCCGCGACAATGTTTTTGCCCCATCAGGCACTGGGAGCTTAACCCAGAATTCCAGTGGGCGGCAGAGACTGCAGGAACTGTGGGATAGTTACCCACAGTGCAACGCTCCGAAAGTCGACATTAGCCACAGTACTGTGGACGCACTCCACCGATTTACTGCGCTTAGTGGGGGACACACACAATTGATTGTATAAAATCGCTTCTATAAAAATCAACTTCTATAAATTTGACCTAATTTTCTAGCGTAGACATACCCTGAGAAGCATAAATCCCACTGAAAATCTCGTTCCCAGTTTTGCTCCCATCCCTTGCTCGTGTAAACTGTACTGTATGACCTAAACTGGCCTATTGACTTCACTGGAACTGCTCAACAGCAGCAACAGTGGCATATCTGGGCTCTGAGAAGGCAGGTGTGAAGTGCACAGCTGGAGTAGAATATGCAATACACACTTAAGGGTCTGTGTACACAGAGGCAGGGAGGTATAATTCCCAAATCACGTTGTGATTGCAGCATCCACATACCTTATAACTCCTGTGCCCATGAAGAGTCTCTTGAACTTTAGTGGAGCTCTGGTAAGATGCAGGGGACTGCCTATGCACGGTAAATTTGGAGAATTAGGACCCAGATTAGTCAAATATTAAAAATTAGACACCCTACTCAGCATCTTCAATCAAAGAGAAGTTGACCCTAGTTATTTATCTTTAATATTCTTGGGGTGGGGGGAGGGTTGCCTCATGCTACCTTAATTATGTCTAATAAATACAAACTGCAAATCACTTCTGTCCAGTGCAATGTCTGTACACTTAAATTAGGCACTAGCTTGTAAGATTATATCGCAGAAAAGCTCCTGCGGTTTCTTTCATTTCTCCTGAATTGTGTCACAGAAGCTGGGTGGAGCTAATGAGCGCTGTATATAGCCAAAAGCATCTGAGTGGTAGAAGTCCCCTTTCAGCCCAGCATCTGAAACAGGTAAGAAGCTTTCTCCTATGTTCCTGCTCAATGAGTCACTGACCACTGCAGTGTGGATAGCTGGGATCTTTCTATTGCAAGAGAGAGGAATTGCTTTAGGTAGCCAGATGTGGGTAGCACAGAGCTGCTACCAGGGAGCCTGAAACAAAAGTGAGGTAAGTGCGTACAAAAGTCCTTTCTCTCGCTCGACGAAAACAAACGCACTCTGTTGTAAAATCTCCACTAGTCGCATAGAGTTACTGAGGGGGGGGGGGGAAGGGGGGCATGCCGTTTCTGTCGGAAGAGGACGCTTGGGGGAGGAAGCGCGGGCATTTTGAAACGGGAGAGCCTCGGGGTCCTGGATGGAGCCGCTACCCAGGGTTTCGCGCAGGCTGGGTAACCTGGCGGCCGGAGAGAGGCAGAGCCTCCTACTGCGGGGCGAGCCACAGCGCGACGTGGGCGGGCCGCGCTTCGTTCCCCCTGCCGCCGCCGCCGCCGCCGTCTCTCGGGGATCCGGGGAGCCTGGGCGCATTTTGCAAAGACCCCGAGGCGGGCGGACACCGCCGTGGCCACCGGGCACTGCCGCCTTCCCTTGGGCGCGCGGCAGCGCTCGGGCCGCGGGCGGGGGCGCCCGGCGCTGCGGGCGAGGCACCGCGGGGCTGCGATGGGGCCGGCTGCCGCGTCTCGGTTCCGCGCGGGGCTGCCCGGGCAGCGGCGGCGAGTCAGTGACCTGGGTGCTGCTGGTGCTAACCCCAGGGGAGCTCAGGAGGAGCACAACTGCATGCGTCGGATGAAGCGGGCTGTAGCTCACGAAAGCTGATGCTCCAATAAATGTGTTCGTCTCTAAGGTGCCACAAGTCCTCCTGTTCTTTTTGGGGATACAGACTAACACGGCTGCTCCTCTGAAACCTGAGTTCAGTCGCGTTCTCCCCCCCCCCCCCACCCCCAGCGTCATTGGTATCCGAATCTGGGCAGCTCAGCATACCCCAAAAAGAGCTTGGATTGCAGTCACTAGATTTCTGACAGGTTTCAGAGGGGCAGCCGTGTTAGTCTGTATCCGCAAAGAGAACAGGAGTACTTGTGGCACCTTAGAGACTAACCAATTTATTTGAGCATGAGCTTTCGTGAGCTACAGCTCGCTTCATGGGATGCACACTTTCTGAAATAAGTCAGATGTCAGTAAGTAGGAGACTCTTTATTTTCTACCACAGCTCTTTGTACCTCTCCTCGCTTGTAAAATAACCTAAAAGTTCATATCGATAATTGTCCTGTTAGGAGAGATTGGTTTTTACATATGTAGCCATTTGGCAGTGGTACGCAGGGCCGTCCTTACCCATACGCAATCTACACAGCTGCGTAGGGCACCACAATGTCGAGGGGCGGCCCAGGGTACAGGAGCCACTGCGTAGGGTTCTGAATTAAGAGTTTGAATAAATTGTTATGCGTAGTGGTTGTTTCACTGGAATAATATAAAATTTTCTGTTTTGCTTTAAATAGTACCCTGTCTGCTAGTAGCCTAAAAAATACAGGGCAAAAGATAACGACTGGTCCTTAACTATAAAGGTAATATTCTTGGAAGTCAAAGATTCTAGCGCTCGGCTGTTAGTTTAGTTTCCCAAAGTTCTGTCAGAGAAAAGAAGGATGGAGATAAGTAAGACATAGGGTGGCCAACTTTCTAATCGCACAAAACCGAACACCCCTGACCCACTCGCTCCATGTCCCCTCACTCCGTTGCCCGCTCTCCCCCACCAGGCTGGGGAAGGGAGTTGGGGTAGGGGGGGGTGAGGGCTCTGGCTGGAGGTGAAGGCTCTAGGGTGGGGCCAGGAATGAGAGGTTTGGGATGCAGGAGGGGGCTCAGAGCTGGGGTTGGGGGGGGCTGCAGAGGGTGGGCTCTGGGAGGGAGTTTGGGTGTGGGAGGGGACTCTGGGCTGGGGCAGGGGGTTGGGGTGCGGGGGAGTGAGGGCTCCAGCTGGGAATATGGGCTCTGGGGTGGGGCCAGGGATGAGGGGTTCAGGGCTGGGGTTGGGAGGGACGTGGTGGGATGCAGGGTCTGGGAGGGAGTTTGGGTCTGGGAGGGGACTCTGTGATATGGGATGGGATTCAGAGTGTGCTTACTGTGGCTCCCAGGAAGCTGTCCGCAGGTCTCTGTGGCCCCTAGACCAGCGGTTTTCACAACAACATTTTTGGGGGCCGGTCCAACAAATTTTCCTAAAATACTTAATTAGCTTTAGGAAAAACTTATAAATATGCACATATACGTGTCCAAATCATTGTAATTTATTTATGTAGGGGTTTTTTGCAGGCTCAATAATAAAAATAATGTATAGCTGTATTTTGGTGCTCCTTGCTCTCACTGCCTTCCCTGGGCCTTCACAGATTCCCCTGGTCCCCACTGCCTCCCCCAGCCCCCCATCGCCCCAAGCTCCCTTCCGTGGCTGCTCACCCCCCTCCTTGCCTCTTGACCACGGTGCTAGGTAAGGCCTGTACTGCTGAAGCCCCATCACCCTGTGCTGAAGCCCAGAGCCAGAGCCTTATGGCTGGAGCAGGGGTGGGAAGGCTGAAGCCCAGAACCCATGCACCTAGTGGCCACAGAGACCTGGCAGCCGCTTCCAGGAGCCACATAGAGCCAGGGCAGATAGGGAGCCTGCCTTAGCCGCGGCCCCCTGCTGTGCCGCCAACCAGACTTAATGGCCCAGTCGGCAGTGCCGACCAGAGCCAACAGGGTGCCTTTTTGACCGGGCGTTCCTGTAGAAAACCGGATGCCTGGCAACCCTAAAAGAGTTAATAGTTTTGAAATAGTCCTAGCATATAGCCAGGTAAAGGTTCTCTTTCTCTTTAAGTAATTACTTACGTTAGCAGGTGTTACTGTATGAGAACGCAAATGACTTATCTGACAGAAATCTGGATTATAGGGAAATAGCACAGAAGTCACTGCAAACAACTCTGAAAATCTAGGTGAAATGAATAGGCAACATGATGTATATTAAGGATGTTTGAGAAAAACTCTTTACTAACTATATTGAAATATATTTTGTAAGCTTCCTTAAAAAAAAGAGAGGGGAGGTGGGCAGATCCACAACTGCTATAACTCAATATAGCTAAGAATTTTAGATTTATTTGTCCTTATTGCATCAAGCGATGGCTTGTGTGTGTGTGTGTGATTATTTTTTGTCAAAAGAAACGGAGATTTGTTAATAGGAATGTTATGGTATTTCCAGCGTTTTAAAAAACCCGTTCGTAGCTGCAAAGTAAATGTTTTATTTCTTTTGATGATCATGATGGCTGGTGCTGTTAACTGTATTTGCGTGGACCATAAATCTTGATATATGGATTCTTACTACAGGTCCTAATTTTGGCCTAGTTTACTATATCTTACGGGGAGAAAGCAATAAAAGAACCTAAGATGGTCCCAAGACACTGCTGATAATGCATAGAGTTGCTCAGTATTATTCAGTGGTTAAGCATGATCATTCTGGGGGACTAAGATCATGCAGTTGGCCCAAAAGCTTGTTTGTAAAACGAAGTATGCTGTGTGACAACAGTTTATGTAGAACTAATTAGAACATAAATATTTACTCCACTTCTGTTCTTTTAGTCCAGTAAGGTTGGAGACAGTGGGCTAGATCCACCCTCAGCTGATGTAAATTAGTGTTTTGATTTCAGTAGAGCTATCCTAATTTACACTAGCTGAGTATCTGGCCTAATAAGATCTTAGCAGATTGGTATATGAGCTAAATTAACAATGCTCTTTTGATTAGGAAATGTGGCCATATTTTCTGTATGGCCTAATGGCTTGATTTTTATCCCAGGAAGATATCCTGAAGACTCCAGTGTAGCATGATGTCTGGGAAGAGCATCAAGAGAGAGGAAAATCCCCCATCTCCAAAGGTGAATAAAAATGCACAGGTGAGTGACACACATATATTTGGAAGACCATACACTAAAATTTGCAAGGACTATACAGCCATCATTTTGATGAAATACAAGACCAGATATTTGGCTGGTGTACTGTGGGCATAGCTCCACTGAAATCTGCGCTTTTAACTACACGTATAGTATTGGGCATTGGTTTCGTCGTCAGTGGACCAGGTTTGAGAGAATTATGAATATACGTACATGCTCCTCTCTGGAGAGCTTAGGAGATGGGAGCAGAGCTGTGCCTCCAAGCAGAGAAGCTCTGGGACGTTCTCTTTTGTGAAGAGCTGATGCAGGCCGAATGCCTCAGGGAGCGCTAGGGAAAGGAGCATGCTGAATAGCAGTCCTAGCACCTGCTAGCATAAGTTGCAATGGACTTGCTACCAGAAGGTCTTGGGCAAATAGTGAAGGTAGGGCCCTGGCCATCTCACCAACCAGTCTGGTCACAATCCCTCGAGTTGTGCCGGTTGTGCTAGCGATCCCTCTTCTCTTACTGCTGTTCACAGGAGCACTAATCTCAGTGTTCTGCCAGGGTCCCAAGTGGGTGCTCTGGAAGGGGGAGAGGGCCTCTGTCCCTGCACATCCCCAGCACACCTGCACTGGGCATGCCCAGATTTAGCTCTAACTGTTAATAGTCCCAGTGCATGTTATTTCATAACTTTTGCTATTTTCCTGCTGTGTAGGAGAAATGCAATTAATTCTACATAGAAAATGCTAGAGTCTTCAGGCTCACTTTGGGTATCTGCTTTAAAAAAAAAAATCTCCATTTTGGTATGTGCAGTGACTGCACGGTATTGTCAGTTCTTATTAGTGCTCGTGGAAGGTGCTGGAATGACAGCCCTAGTGACTGAAATGCTTTTAGCCACAGAAGAGTTACCTGTGGGCACCGAACAGCAGCAACATACATTTCCCCAGAAGGCCTTGCCAAAGTATCCCAACCCTTTTCTGCAGGGACTGCCTCTCAGGGTAAAACAGTCATTCAGCTTCTAAGGCCATTCCGACTTAGGCCCCTCCAATGAGAGCGCTAACTAGGGAACCGATTCGTGACAGCCGTGGTGTTCGCTTTTGTAGGGGTGGACACCAGTCAGGGACTGGACAGCAATCCCCAGCTCATTTCACTCAGGCAGCTGAATAGTTAGTAGACGACGATAACCATGGGCACTTCTGAAGGTTGCCTAACAGTCTTCGAACCCCTCAGTGTTCGAACCCCTCACTGTGCAGCGTAATGCACTAGAACAAGTGTGTGCCACCTTTCTATAATGTCCCTCGTCAGTTAGGAAAGCTCATCAGAGAAGGGGGGAGAAAAAGCCACCAAATCTCCATATGAGCCTTCAAAGTTGGAGTTGTTTTGAATTTGAATTGAATTGAATTTGAATTTGAGAGAAATACCTTAAAATAATTATTGGCATATGAGCAGGGAGGCTTTCAGGCAGGGGATTGTGTGAGGCCGGTAAGTGCGGGGTCTCTTACATTAGGCATCTCTGACGGTAATTAAAAACACTAGTACCAATGGAATCAATACAAAGAGAAACCACAAAGCAACCTCACAGACAAGAACAATGAAATAGATTAAAAGGACTCCCCCATTTTCCCCATGCCTCACCCACCCCTTGAGCAATTGTCCTTGCCTCACCAGCCCTCTTAAGAAGATGAGCCTTCCAAGATGCTCTGAATATCAACAGATTAGACTGTTCTGAACCAATTAGCTGGAAGGAGCAGGGCGCATTCCAAAGAGAAGCGGTCCTCGTGGAAAAGGCCCTGCCAGCTACCTCACTGTCTCATCCTGAGGTAGAGGGGGTCTAGCTGAAGCACCTCCATACATTTCAACTGCAGCTGGGATGGCACAAGGAGGGAGGTAGTCTCCCAACCAGACACGCTGAGACATGTGGGTTTTGTTCTTCACAATACATATGGAATACACAGGTCTTCCCAATATTATGTATTTTAGTGTCTCACAGAGTGTCCGTCACTGTGGCAATCACTCTTTTTACTACAGATCTGTTTATAGCACACTGCTGCAAAAAAAACTCCTGGAATAATGCTGTGTACCTGTGACATTCTCCACGGTACAATCTGGACTGTTGGACAGCTGTCCGTCCCCCGTCCCCCACCCAGTTCTCTAGCCTGGGATGACTTTTACACTGCTTAGCTTCTACCCCTTGGTGCTACTCACACACAGCTTTTAGCATGCAAAACCATTCCACTGGATTATAGGAATGCTTCAAGCAAGCCACTCCTGAATTATGTACAGGGTGACACCAGCAAATTCTTAGTCCTAGGCTGGCTGCCCAGAAATATGCATCTTCTACTGCTCAGTATCCTCCTGGACAGTACAAGCTCATATATAGTCTGTCATTTCAGCAAAGGAAAATATTTATGCGCCAGCCTTGTTATCTCAAGTAGAAGTTCCCAAACACTTCAATCCTAACATACACTGGTTTAGATAAAACAAAATAAAACAAGTTTATTAAATCTAGAATGATGGATTTTAAGTGATTACAAGTGATGAGGCATAAAAGTCAAATTGGTTAAAAAAGAAATAAAAAGATAAAAATGCAAGCTAATTCCTAACTTTACTAAGGTAATACTATAAAAGCAAAAAAGTCTGTCTTACCATAAGCTGCAGTGAATTTCACAGGCTTGGTCTCCTTCCAACCTGAGATCCCTCCCCCTGTTCAATGTCCTTCAGGAATTTGTTGATGCTGTGAGCAGAGAGATAGGAGGAGGACAGGTGATGTGGCAGTCACTGTCTCTCATTCTTATACTCCTCTTCCCTCTTTGAGGATTACCCTCCTCCCACTGGGGTGCAAACATACAGGCTCCTGTATGCGTGCGGTTTGAACCGTCTCTGAGATAAAATGTAAATTTCTTATTTATACCTTCTCCTGTGCTGGAGAATGGCTGCTTAAGATGGTGATCACTTTTTAACATCTTGCTGGTGTGCCAGGGTGTCTTTGTCTCTGAGAAACTGGTTTGTGGGTGTTACCCAGAATTACAGCATATTGCAGTAAGAATCATACAGTAGAAACTTATAACTTTACACATAATGTTGCTACACATATTTCAACAGGCTAATCATATTCAGCAGATTATGAATGTTCAAATGATACCTTAAGGCATACTTTGCACAAAATATATCATAACCATATAAAAGTGGTGAACATGGAGTACTGGGTGTCACAGTATCTCATCACTGACACTGTGCCTATATTTGTAGAGGCCTTTTATTGAAACTGGAGGTCAAGGTCCTTCTTCCATTTATAAGCACTTTTTTTTTTTTTAAATCAGAAAGCAGAACACTCCTTGTGCAGTCAGTATGAGGAAAAGGTTCGTCCCTGTATTGATCTCATTGACTCCCTGAGAGCCCTCGGAGTAGAAAAGGACCTGGCTTTGCCAGCGATTGCAGTCATTGGAGACCAGAGTTCTGGAAAAAGCTCGGTTCTAGAAGCCCTGTCTGGAGTCGCTCTTCCTAGAGGCAGTGGTAAGAATTTACCTCTCAGCGTTTCATGTCAGAAATCTGACATTTCCCTGGGTCACAGTGGTGTGGTGTTCTGTAAGGGTGCTGGAGGACTGCTTTGAAATGGTGGGGAGGGGGAGCCTGTGATCTGGAAGACTGAACATGGGGCTGGAAGGCAGGAAACCTGGGCTATGTTGTCAGCTCTGCCAAGGACTTCTCATGTGACCTTGTACAACTCACTTCACTTCCCTGATCTTCAGGTACCCCTTTCTTCAAAATGGGGATAACTGCTATATATTTACCCACCTATGTAATGAGCTTTCAGTTCTTCAGATGAAGAGCACAAAAAGCAGACTCTGGGGGTCCTTGAACTCCAGCGGAAAGACTACTATTGCAATGAACATTGCATTTGACCCCTACTGCTGTGTAATTGCAGAGCAGTAGTAGTACGATACATGTTGAAAATAAGCTAAGGACAATATGCTGGTATTTCAGTGGCTTCCAAAGAGGAGGGAAACGTGTTTCATTCTTCATACATGACTAGTGCTTTATGTTTGTTTAATTTGATAGGTATTGTTACCAGATGTCCTTTAGAGCTCAAACTGAAGAAAGTGCATTGTACACAGGAATGGAAAGGAAAAATTACTTACTTGGAGATAAAGCAAGAATTGAATGGTCCTTCAGAAGTGGAAAAAGAAATAAGGAAAGGTAAATGTAACCTGGGGCGTCAGTACCATACTTTGAATCTTGTATTTCCTGGTGGCCCTGACTCTGCAATGATGTCTGTGTGGGCACAGGAATTTATTTCAGGATTGAGGCCTGCGTTTGCAATGGCATTGTAAAAAGTGGGGATTTCTCACTCTTCTGTTCTGGTTGTTTGTGCCTAGTTAAGACATTATCATCACTTATGCTTTCCTATAGCTCCATAAGTGTGCATAGTGCTTACAATAGGTAATATCTGCAAGTGGGTTCCCTGCTGAGCTGGCCAAATAACAAATTGATTGGTTCACTGGTGATTTTGGAAAAAAAAAAAATCTTGTTTTGGGTCAAACTGAAAATTGTCAGTGAATTGGAAAAAAAATTGTTTCAGGTCAAATAAAACATTTCATTTCAACCAACTCGAAACTTGTTTATTTGATATCAGCTATTTGAATGGTTTTGAAATAAAATGGAAGTTTGTTTTGTTTTGAAATTTGTTTTACATATTTTTAGCTGAAACCATTTTGCGAAATTGACATGAATTTGTGAAATGTTTTGGTTTCACCAAATCTACATTTCTCGCTTAAAAAAATGTGTGAAAAATTTCACCCAGCTATACTCTGTGCTTCAAACCAGACATACACTTATGCTGGATGCTGACAGATTAGCAGCAAGCTTGTGGTTTAGCACTCCACTGTTCTTTGGGGCTGATATTTGCTATTCCCTGGGCCGAGTCTTGGATATTGTTGTCCTTTACAGTATAAAAAATGAAGACTAATCTTTATTATTTTATACTATATTTATAAATCTTCTTTCAAAGCTAAAATGAAGGGATAGCTTTTCTGAGATCACATTTTCTATAGAAATAAATTTAGCAATAGGTTTTTTCTTAATCCCCATTATTTTCTAGTCTAAATTCCATGACAAGCATCTAATCTTTGCTTTTATGTCTCCTTCCTCTAGCCCAGGATGCAATGGCTGGTGAAGGAGTGGGCATTAGCCAAGAATTAATTTCCCTAGAAATTAGCTCCCCGAATGTTCCAGATCTGACACTGATTGATCTGCCAGGGATTGCGAGGGTGGCTGTGGGGAATCAGCCAAAAGACATTGGAAATCAGGTAAAGTATGTAGCAATTCTGGGCTGGGAAACTGGTAAATGATGGCAAAAGAGATTAGGGTGTCTTGATCTGCATAATCTTCTGTTTAATGATGGCACAGAACAGACAGATATGTAATTTCCCAAGAAGAAGTAAAATATAACAAGCTAGGGTTTTAGTGGAGGAAGTGCTAGCATTGAGAAGGATGTGCCATATACCAAAAGGGGGAAAACTCTAGATTCTGTAGACAAGAGTGTTTGTTTGAGACATTTTCTAACTTCCATTAGAGTTCCATTAGAGTTCTAATGGAACTGTGTGTGCGTGCATGTGTGTTCGTTCACCCTGCAGAGGTTTCAGCGGAGCTGGTTACGGGGATTTTTGGCCCCCAGGAAGATCATTTCTCCAGGCACCAATCCCGCTATCTTTCCTGCCCATCCCCATTAATCCTCCTCCATCTTTCCTTTTTATTTTCCCTCCTTCCCTCTCCCTACTCTATTCTAATTGAAGGAGAAGGTGGTTGTTAGATTTTCTGTCCATTCAAAATCTTCCTTGGACTCACCCAGAGCTGAGGGCATCTGATCTTTACATCCTTAGTGGTGTCCCAAAAGTTGACTCTGCATTTCTGGGGAAGAAAGAAGGATGCTCTAGAAAGCTTGTCTGATTCAAACACTGATGAGGACAATAGTCAGCCTGCAGAAATTACTTTCTGTGGCCTCACTGAAATTTTTGATCTAATGTTTTTATTTTTGTAATGACCCTCTGGCATTTACACTGAGGCAAATGACTTCTCATTGTCTCTTTCAAAACAATATTTTAAATGCATGGAAAAAGAAGGTGCGCATCTGAAAATGGCATGCTCAGGGCTTACTTATGCCCCAGCAACCCCTGAGAGTCATGGTCCTCTGAGGCCATGGGCATCTGGCATAAAATAGAGCAACTCTGAGGCTGCCCTAATTTATGCTCAGTATCAGTCCACTGACTACCAGCCCCAAGGCTGAGGGGATACACAAGTGTGTTAAACTCATTTGCACACATCCACTTCCTGAGCTGCAGCTGAGGATCTGGGCCTAACTGTTATATTGTAAGACTTGTTGTCTTCAAGTTTTCAATAGCATCATAAAAAGCTAAAATTTGATGTTGCTTAATCATTCCTAATTTAGTTCTAAGTGTACCTGCTTGGACTTGTAAACCTATTACAATAAAGACCATCGTAAATGTTATTCTATGCTTTTAAACAATGTTGTTCAAGTTGGTCAAATGTAGTATGTTTACATATGTTTATTAACACATTTAATTTTACCTTTAGATGATAAGATTTCAGGCTGTATTGTGTTCTTCTGAAATTCTCATGTAAGTTTTCGTCCCATAGTCACATCTGTAATACTAACGATATGCTATCAAATCTGACCACGATTTTTGCAGTACTGGACCCAAACCACTGAACCATTAAGTTCTATCCCATGCCTCCGGCAGTACTCAGTGCTTTGAGGCAAGTGAAAAAATACCATAATGCACCTAGGCAATTATGCAGTCGGCATAACCACATTAGGAGGTGGGGGAGGGGGGTAGCTAAATAAATTCCTTTGAAAGCTATGAAATCTGGAAGAACCAAACCTACCACTTGTAATAGGACTTACCTACCATAGCCTATGTGAAGTAATAAACTTTTATTACATTTCTTATTTCATTACAGATCATAAATCTAATTAAAATGTATATTTGTAAGCAACAAACTATAAATCTGGTAGTTGTACCAAGTAATGTGGATATTGCAACTACAGAGGCCCTAAGAATGGCTAAAGAGGTGGATCCTAAGGGGGAGAGAACTCTAGGTAAGTAAAGATACATATATTTAAAAAGAAAATGGTATTGTGTTGTGCGAAAAGTCATTGTACTTGCAAAGAATGTTTATTACTAAACACTGGAGAGGTTGAGCATTTTCTACCAGTTACCCAGGTAGCTAAAAGAATCCTAGAAAAGCAGCAAAGGAACGAGAGATTTGTATTTTGGTGATGGGCTTGCTATCATTTGAAATCCACACAGGATTTTCCTATCCATGCTTCATTTCAGAATCTAAATTTCAGACAAAAAAAATCACAACTGCTTTAGGGGAAAATGGCTAAAGGAGTGACCAACCCCTTCCCCTGAATTTATGAGCGTTATCCTATTCTGTAAAATGTTCCTGCAATTGTCTGTTCTGATACTTTGTAAGCCTAGAATCATTTGGGAGTTTCTTTTAATGACTCTCCAGGGAGAATATACTCATGTGGAAGTCCTTTCCTGGGCACTCCATGGCACTTAGGCCCTCACGAGTTCTTTAAAATATATAGTGTAGTATTTAGAAATCTATGGAAAGAGGACATAGGTGCAAGTGTGCTACATTCATAATGCATTAATAAGGTAGTAAACATCAAGTATTCAAAAAGATGTATATTAGACAGTGGGTCAGATCCTCAGTTTCAATGGAGCGACTCCAATTTATACCAGTTGAGGATCTGGCCCTGTGTGTGGATAATGATATCACACACATACATTCCCAGACTAAAACTATGTTAAGATGGAGTTCAGGTTGGGTGAATAGATCAGTAATTTACAGTAAGTAAAGATTACACTGATGTCATTATCCAAAAATTAAGCATTATAAACCAAGGAAATTCAGATATAAGGTTACACTTAGAAGAAATACAAATATGTTAGGGTATGGAAATCCAGAGGTAAGGCACCCCAAACAACCTTAAATCTGACCTGTAGTGACGCCATGGAAAAGCTATATGGTTATGACTGAGGCATTTTAGTGTCCCCAGATTAGATTAAACTGATTTTTAAAGACACATTAGAATTTCTCTTTTTTTCTTTCATGGTGAAAACTCTGTTTTGTTCCTTTATTGAGATTATTCTGGATATCAGATACTGTGACACTAAGTGTTAAATGTCTTAAGGACCCATTTTAAAATAATTTTAATTCATCAACTAACCAATTTGCTTGTAAATTCTTTTAAAAAAGAGAGTAAATGCTGTGATTTTGGGGGGAAAGATATGAAAAATACAGCATATATAATGAAGTGATTGGATCCCTGTTTTAAATGCAAAAGTCAACTCAGTCCTAACTGTGGAAGCACGAGTGGTGCTTCCATCTACAAAGTGTGTCACCTCTCTAAATACAATCATTGTTTTGTTACTTCACAGGGATTCTCACAAAACCCGATTTGGTCGACAGAGGAACTGAGAGCAATGTCATTGACATTGTCCGAAATCTCAGTGTCCCCCTAAGGAAGGGCTACATGATTGTTAAATGTCGTGGGCAGCAGGACATCCATGACAACTTGACACTGGCCTCTGCAATTCAGAAAGAGAGAGAATTCTTTGAGGAGCATGAATATTTTAGGTAGCTTTAAAATCAATACACACTGAATATTGGACAGGTTTTTCCCTGTTAAGAGTTTAAAAAAAAAATCACAGAAAAGTGAGTAAATGCATGCCCTTATACATCCATGCAATGGTTAAAGCCAGTCATTGGGACACATTATGAGCAGTAGCGTAGCTAAGAGGGGAGCGGGGGGAGCAGCCGCTCCCCCACTGAGCACAAGTGGCGCCTTTTTAATTTTTTGGCGCCTTTTTAAATTTCTACTCACCTGGCGATGCTCCGGGTCTTCACCAGCCGGTCCAGCGGGACTTCGGTGGCGGGGTCTTCACGTGCTCTGGATACAGCAGCACTTCGGTGGCGGGATCTTCACATGCTCCGGGTCCAGCGGCACTTCGGCGGCAGGGTCTTCACGTGCTCCGGGTCCGGCGGCACTTCGGTGGCGAGGGCCTTCCGTGGTGCCGAGGACCCAGAGCGCCGCCCGGTGAGCACAAGCGGGTGACACCTTTCTTTATGTCCGCTCCCCCTGTTTGCTCCACCTAGCTATGCCACTGATTATGAGTTGGACTATGCATGCACAAAGGGAAGTAGATGGAGTAAGTATCCACCTTATGCTTCTACGTGGGCTCCTCAGGCTTTGGGTGCAAGCACACAGGAGTAAGTAGGGGTACTTGCTTGTTTACACCCCAACTGGAGCAGGTGAGTGGGCCTTGGCTTTGTCATCTTACTGGCCAGGATAGTCAGGAGTTCGCTTGTGGTTGTGGCCATCAGTAAATTACCACCTGCTGAGGGGAAGGCGGAAGCAGGGGAGGAATTGTGACTCAGCGGTGTGTTTCTGGGTTATAGTACCTCCTGGGAAGGAGCAGCTTACACACAACCCCTAGCTTAGCATTGTGCCTGAATTCACAGTCTAGCCCTGAGTTGTGCATATGGAACAGAGTAAATTCACTCATTCAGGAATAGAAGTAGTTCACTGACAATGGCATGGAGACTTTTGATACCCTTGTAGTTGGAGTAGTTTAGGACCTAGCTAAACAATGTGACTCTCGGTGTTAATATTGATTTAAATGGGGGTGAGGAGATGTTGCGTAGGCAGGCATTCCACCCATGACTGGTTAGACCCGGCCAGGAATGTGAGGCAGCTCAAATCTGGTTGCACACTTAGCGTGGGCATTACAGAGCAAAAGAAAACTACAGTCCTGTCTGCACCCAGCTGCCTGAATAAAAAAATATCATCTTTTCATTTGTCGCTACCAGCTAATCTCTATTATCAGAGACAAAAATCTGTTCATAGTTATGGTGTGTGAGCACCATACAAAATTCCATAAATCCACGAGTGGCCTATCCACAGACCTAAAATCCTCTTTTCTTCCTCTTCCCAAGAACAGACAATGTCATAGTCAGCATCAAAATAATACTTTCATCAGTAGATCTCAAAGCGCTTTACAAAGTAGCTCAATATCATCTCCATTTTACAGATGGGGAAACTGAGGCAGAAAACAATGAAGCAACCTGCTTCAGATCACCCAGAAGGCCTATGGCAAAGTCAGGAACAGAAATGAAAGCTAGACCTGTGCAAATAACTGATTTTTCAATTCCGTTGCTAATCTTTTTTCCTGACAAAATGAATGAGTTGTAAACATTCGACATGAAACAAAATATTTCATTTTATTTTGGAGAATTTTTAATCTTTTATAATTTTTTTAAAATAAATTGAGTGAAATTTCAAAACAAAATATCTTTCTGAAACACAAATTCCAAAAATTTCTCTTTTTTTGACATTTCCAGACTCTTTTTTTATTTGACTGAAACAATTTGCCAAAGTTGACCTGAATTCATCAATTGCTTCAGCGAACCCAAATCTGCATTTTTCAGCCAAAAAAAAAAAAAAAAATGATTTGCATGGAAAACTTCACCCAGCTCTATCTACATCCTCCAAGTCCCAGTTCAGTGCTCCATCCAATAGGCCACACTGCTCTGAAGAGAAACCTGTGTTCTGTTTCTCTTCTTTCATTTCGGGGACAGAGTGAAATGCTTATTAATTAATTACTTTTTTATTGTTAGTTCCACAAGAACAATGGGAGAGCTTTCATTTTTGTCTCCAGAGCAGCCAGATTTGTAGTTGCTCTCAGCTGTTGTTGAAGGCATAGGCATCAACTTTCCCTGGCGCTGGTGGGTGCTCGCGCCCTCCGGCCCCGCCCCAACTCCACCCTTTCCCCACCCCTACCCCGCCCCCATTCCAACCCCTTCTCCAAAGTCCCTGCCCCAACTCTGCCCCCTCCCTGCCCCTATTGGACCCCTCCCCAGCACCGCCTCTTCCCCAAGTGTGCCGCGTTCCGTCTCCTCTCCCTCCCTCCAAGCGCTTGCAGTGCAAAACAGCTGTTTCGCAGTAGCAAGCGCTAGGAGGGAGGGGGGAGAAGTGGGACGCGGCGCGCTCAGGGGAGGAGGCGGAGGTGAGCTGGGGCGGGCAGGGGAGCTTCCAGTGGGTGCACAGCACCCACCAATTTTTCCCCGTGGGTGCTCCAGCCCCGGAGCACCCACAGAGTCAGCGCCTATGGTTGGAGGGAATGCCACCACTGATGGCTATCTGCTGAGGAGGCTTTCTCTCTAGTTCCATTAATCTCACCCTGGTCTTTGATAGCTCCATCATTCCTGAGGATCACAAATGCTGTAGAAGGTCTTTGTCACAGATAAACTTTTCTGAGAATGCCTACGTCCATTTTATTTCTCCAAAAATTCATGCTGGAAATGTGTTATTTGCATGCTTGCAAGAAATAATTTGACCATTTTGAATACTATTAGTAAGTGTATATAGCTGGCCAGATCGGTCAGTATCTGTACTGTAGTGTATGAAGTACTCTGAAAGAAAAGGAGTACTTGTGGCACCTTAGAGACTAACGAATTTATTTGAGCATGAGCTTTCGTGAGCTACAGCTCACTTCATCAGATGTTTACCGTGGAAACTGCAGCAGACTTTATATACACACAGAGAATATGAAACAATACCTCCTCCCACCCCACTGTCCTGCTGGTAATAGCTTATCTAAAGTGATCAACAGGTGGGCCATTTCCAGCACAAATCCAGGTTTTCTCACCCTCCACCCCCCACACAAATTCACTCTCCTGCTGGTGCTAGCCCATCCAAAGTGACAACTCTTTGCATAATCAAGTCGGGCTATTTCCTGCATAGATCAAGGTTTTCTCACATCCCCCCCACTTTAGATAAGCTATTACCAGCAGGACAGTGGGGTGGGAGGAGGTATTGTTTCATATTCTCTGTGTGTATATAAAGTCTGCTGCAGTTTCCACGGTAAACATCTGATGAAGTGAGCTGTAGCTCACGAAAGCTCATGCTCAAATAAATTCGTTAGTCTCTAAGGTGCCACAAGTACTCCTTTTCTTTTTGCGAATACAGACTAACACGGCTGTTCCTCTGAAGTACTCTGGAATCCTTTGGGATGAAAGAAGGAATTATTTGGGATGATATTATTGTTGTTATTATTATTTATTACAGTCTTTCATCTCTTTTAGTATTCTTTTGGAAGAAAGAAAAGCTACTATCCCACTTTTGGCAGAGAGACTTACGCAGGAACTGATAGAGCACATTAATGTAAGTTAGCAAACTTGGGCTATTGGCTCTTTAAAAAACTATTTGGTGAATACACAAAAGATCAAATGTTGTTTGGATCTTTTGCCAAGATATTTATTTAAGCTATGTAGTATCAGGTCAAAACTTTCTGAAACCTTAACTAGCTTGTAGAAAATAAATATAAAGGAGACCTTTTCTCATAAATTAATATTTTTAGCTAATAGTTTAGCATAAAGCAATTTACAGATCTTTAAGAAGCATTAGGTATGTCAGGGTTCCTTCCCCACTCTGAACTCTAGGGTACAAATGTGGGGACCCGCATGAAAGACCCCCTAAGCTTATTTTTACCAGCTTAGGTTAAAACTTCCCCAAGGCACAAAGTCTTTCCCCTTAGATAAGGTAAAACACTGCCTCCACCAAGTGATTTAACAAACAATCAGGGAAAGAACCACTTGGAGTTCCTATTTCCACAAAATATCCCCCCACGCCCTTACACCCCCTTTCCTGGGGAGGCTTAAGAATAAACAAGATGAGCACAGACCAGCCTTGGATTTTTAAGACGCAAAAGACCCAATCAGATTCTTAAAAATCAGAACTTTATTAGGAGAACAAAAAAAGATAAGAGAACAACTCTGTAAGATCAGAATGGAAGATAATCTTACAGGCAGTCTGATTCAAAACATAGAGAATCCCTCTAGGCAAAACCTTAAGTTACAAAAAGACACAAAAACAGGAATACACATTTCCTGCAGCACAGCGAATTTCACAAACCAAAACAAAGAAAACCTAACGCATTTTATAGCTATATTACTTACTAACTTTACAGGAGTTGGAGGGCTTGCATCCTTGATCTGTTCCTGACAAAGGTATCACACAGACAGACAAAAGCCTTTCCCCCCCTCCAGATTTGAAAGTATCTTGTCCCCTCATTGGTCATTCTGGGTCAGGTGCCAGTCAGGTTACCTGAGCTTCTTAACCCTTTACAGGTAAAAGGATTTTGCCTCTGGCCAGGAGGGATTTTCTAGCACTGTATACAGACAGGTGGTTACACTTCCCTTTATATTTATGACAAGGTACATTTCTATATGTATCCCCTGATTTAAACTGGGGATTAGGAGATCCATACAAGTTTCATGTCAATGCCTTGTAAATCATGCCACACGTACCTAATTTCCTTCCTTGACAGTGTTACTGGCATAGTGGATAGGGGAGAAGCAGTAGATGTGATATACCTTGATTTTAGTAAGTCTTTTGACACAGTCCCACATGACATTCTCATATGCAAACTAGGGAAATGTGGTCTTGATTAAATTACTATAAGGTGGGTGCACAATTGGTTGAAAGACCGTACTCAAAGAGTACTTATCAATGACTTGCTGTCAAACTGGAAAGGCATATCTAGTGGGGCCCCACAGTGGTCAGTCCTGGGTCCAGTATTAGTCAATATTTTTGATAATGACTTGGGCAGTAGAGTGGAAAGTATGCTTATAAAATCTGTGGACAACAAGCTGGAAGGGGTTGCAGGAGGACAGGATGCAGTGGTTCTCAAACTTTTTTACTGGTGACCCCTTTCACATAGCAAGCCTCTGAGTGCGACCCCGCCTTATAAATTAAAAAAATGTTTTTATATATTTAACACCATTATAAATGCTGGAGGCAAAGCGGGGTTTGGGGTGGAGGCTGACAGCTCGCAACCCCCCATGTAATAACCACGCAACCCCCTGAGGGGTCCCGACCCCCAGTTTGAGAACCCCTGAAATTCAAAATGATCTTGACAAATTAGAGAATTGGTCTGAAATCAACAAGATGAAATTGAATGAAGACAAGTGAAAAGTATTTTATTTAGGAAGGAAAAATCAAATGCATAACTGCAAAATGGGAATCACCGGCTAGGAGGTAGTACTGCTGAGAAGGATCTGGGGTTATAGTGGATCACAAACTGAATATGAGTCAACAACATGATGAAGTTGCAAAAAAGGCTTAAATCATTCAGGAGTGTATTAACAGGAGTGTCATATTTAAGACATGGGAGGTAATTGTCCCTCTCTACTTGGCACTGGTGAGGCTTCAGCTGGAGTTCAGTTTGCAGTTCTAAGCACCAAACTTTAGGAAGGATGTGGACAAATTGGAGACAGTCCAGAGGAGAGCAGCAAAAATGATAAAAGGTTTAGAAAACCTGACCTATGAGGAAAGGTTTTTTTAAAAAAACTGGCCATGTTTAGTCTGGAGAAAATAATAGTGAGGAGACACCTGGTAACAGTCTTCAAATCTGTTAAGGGCTGTCATAAAAAGGACTGTTATCAGTTGTTCTCCATGTCCAGTGTAGGTAGGACAAGAAGCAATGGGCTCAATCTGCAGCAATGGAGATTTAGGTTAGATATTAGGACAAACTTTATAATTATAATGATAGTCAAGTTCTGGAACAGGTTTTCAATGGAGGTTGTGGAATTACCATCACTGGAGGTTTTTAACAACAGGTTGAACAAACACCTGTCGGGGTGGTCTAGGTTTACTTGGTCCTGCCTCAGCACAGACAGCTGGACTTAATGGCTTCGCAAAGTCCCTTCCAGCCCTACATTTCTATGATTCTCTTATTTTTCCCTCACAGAAATCACTACCAACTTTGGAAAATCAGATAAAGAACAAACTCCGGGTGGCAAACAACAAGCTACAAAAATATGGCAAAGGTGTGCCAGAATCAGTGGAAGAGCAGATGCTCTTCCTAGTAGATGTGAGTATAAATATGGATCTGGTAACTCATGTGAATAAAAACTGTTGGTTAGCATTTGGAATTGTGTGGATATTGCAAGTTGGTCTCTTTTTCTACGCTGCATACTCAGTGTGTTGCTTCATGAAATCACTAACTACAGACACATCCACATGCACTTTTCTTAACATAGGAGAACTAGACCATGAGCATTACCCTTAATTCCTGATCTTCATAAATCCAGAATATATACTCACCAATAAAATAAACCAGATTAAAAATAAAATTGTTCCTGTTTTATCAATGTCAGCTTTGATACTATAATGGGTGAATTACATTTGGTTGCATTAATTATATCAATGCACTGAAAGTTGCTGGTAATAGAAGATGCTGTATTAGGCAAAGGCGTAATAGAAATCAAGAATAAGTCGTCCTATTCCATATTTACAAGGCCATAATATTTTGCACAAAATTATAGTGATTTTTAAAAGCAACACTGTTTTCCACCTGTATTCTGACCAGTCCAGGTAATCCAGGTCAAGGATAATCTAGGCATGGCCCAATATCTAAACAAATACTTTGCCTCAGTCTTTAATAAGACTAAAGAGGATCTTAGGGATAATGGTAGCATGACAAATGGGAACGAGGATATGGAGCTAGACATTACCATATTTGAGGTAGAAGCGAAACTCAAACAGCTTAATGGGACTAAATCAGGGGGCCCAGATAATCTTCATCCAAGAATATTAAAGGAATTGGCACATGAAATTGCAAGCCCATTAGCAAAAATTTTTAATGAATCTGTAAACTCAGGGGTTGTACCGTATGATTGGAGAATTGCTAACATAGTTCCTATTTTTAAGAAAGGGAAAAAAAGTGATCCGGGTAATTATAGGTCTGTTAGTTTGACATCTGTAGTATGCAAGGTCTTGGAAAAAAAATTGAAGGAGAAGGTAGTTAAGGACATTGAAGTCAATGGTAAATGGGACAAAATACAACATGGTTTTACAAAAGGTAGATCATGCCAAACCAACCTGATCTCCTTCTTTGAGAAAGTAACAGATTTTTTAGACAAAGGAAACGCAGTAGATCTAATTTACCTAGATTTTAGTAAGGCATTTGATACCGTGCCACATGGGGAATTATTAGTTAAATTGGATAAGATGGGGATCAATAGGAAAATTGAAAGGTGGATAAGGAATTGGTTAAAGGGGAGACTACAACGGGTCTTACTGAAAGGTGAACTGTCAGGCTGAAGGGAGGTTACCAGTGGAGTTCCTCAGGGATCGTTTTTGGGACCAATCTTATTTAATCTTTTTATTACTGACCTTAGCACAAAAAGTGGGAGTGTGTTAATAAAGTTTGCGGATGATACAAAGCTGGGAGGTATTGCCAATTTAAAGAAGGACAGGGATATCCTACAGGAGGATCTGGATGACCTTGTAAACTGGAGTAATAGTAATAGGATGAAATTTAATAGTGAGAAGTGTAAGGTCATGCATTTAGGGATGAATAACAAGAATTTTAGTTATAAGCTAGGGACACATCAATTAGAAGTAACGGAGAGGAAAAGGACCTTGGAGTATTGGTTGATCATAGGATGACTATGAGCTGCCAATGTGATGTGGCCGTGAAAAAAGCTAATGCGGTCTTGGGATGCATCAGGAGAGGTATTTCCAGTAGGGATAAGGAGGTTTTAGTTCCGTTATACAAGGCACTGGTGAGACCTCACCTGGAATACTGTGTGCAGTTCTGGTCTCCCATGTTTAAGAAGGATGAATTCAAACTGGAACAGGTACAGAGAAGGGCTACTAGGATGATCCGAGGAATGGGAACCTTGTCTTATGAAAGGAGACTTAAGGAGCTTGGCTTGTTTAGCCTAACTAAAAGAAGGTTGAGGGGAGATATGATTGCTGTCTATAAATATATCAGAGGGATAAATACTGGAGAGGGAGAGGAATTATTTAAGCTCAGTACCAATGTGGACATAAGAACAAATGGATATAAACTGGCCACCAGGAAATTTAGACTAGAAATTAGACAAAGGTTTCTAACCATCAGAGGAGTGAAGTTTTGGAATAGCCTTCCAAGGGAAGCAGTGGGGGCAAAAGATCTATCTGGCTTTAAGATTAAACTCGATAAGTTTATGGAGGAGATGGTATGATGGGATAAGATGGTTTTGGTAATTAAATATTCATGGTAAATAGGCCCAATGGCCTGTGATGGGATATTAGATGGGGTGGGATCCGAGTTACCCAGGAAAGAATTTTCTGTAGTATCTGGCTGATGAATCTTGCCCATATGCTCAGGGTTTACCTGATCGCCATATTTGGGGTCGGGAGGGAATTTTCCTCCAGGGCAGATTGGAAGAGGCCCTGGAGATTTTTCGCCTTCCTCTGTAGCATGGGGCACGGGTCACTTGCTGGAGCATTCTCTGCTCCTTGAAGTCTTTAAACTACGGTTTGAGGACTTCAGTAGCACAGATATAGGTGTGAGGTTTTTTGCAGGAGTGGTGGGTGAAATTCTGTGGCCTGCGTTGTGCAGGAGGTCAGACTAGATGATCATAATGGTCCCTTCTGACCTAAATATCTATGTATCTATGAATCCCGTACTACCGCTTCACAGCCCTACTCAAACAATCCCAGTAGTGTGCAGTGAGTAGGGATCGGGGATATGCATTAAAACAGAGGTTCTCAAACTTTAAATCTGGCGGGACCATATTTTAATACACAGACTGCCTTGTACATCACTTTCACTCACATTCAGAATAACACGGCATTCTGCTACAGTAATTGCTTACATGGAAAAACAACATTAGGGAAGCGTTCAATGTATTTTTAGTTTCTTTTGATGAAATTTAGCTGCTGGAAACAAGGAGAATTATTGTTATTCATTTGTATTACCGGAGCATCTAGAACAGCCCAAATTGAGATCAAGACCTCATTAGGCTAAGCACTGTACATACACAGATTAAAAGATATTTGCTTCCCAAAAGAGCTTGCAACCTAAATAGACAAGGCAAACAAAGGATGAGAGGGAAACGCTCTGAGAAATGAAGGGACCTGCCCAAGATCACACAGCAAGTCCGTGGCAGAGCTGGGAATAGAACCCTAGGTCTCCTCCTGAGTCTTTGCCCTAGTCACTGAACCTCAATGTCCTGAGACAGCAAGTCACAGGCCACACAGTCTGAGCACTACTGTGCTGAAATACACAGCCTGTGAGGTCTGACTGCCTCTCAGAATGTCACTTCCACAGCTGGAGCTACAGACAACCTGCAGAGTGTGAATTCTATAGTTTTTCAGGGAGCAGTGTGTAACATTTGCTCCAGCATTTCCCCTCCCTGCTGCAAAGTTTGGGTTATGTACCATTGCAAACAGCTCAGGGTCTGAATTTAGCCCCTGAGTTGTTTGGCAATTTCCTGTCTCTTTACAGAAACTCAAACTCTTTAACCAGGACATCATGAATTCAGTGCAAGGAGAAGAAATTGTAACTGATAAAACAAAACAAAGACTATTCACAAAAGTTCGCAAGTTCTTTAATGAATGGGAAGCCCATGTTAATAACAGTACACTGAAAGGTAAGCACCAAATGTTGGCACTTGACCTGAAAGTTGTTCTGCGCTGACAGACATCTGTGAGTGCCCAGAGCCCTAGTGAAATCAATGGGGCTCCATATGGATGCAAATGTCTGCTTGCATGGACCAGCTTGTTCTTGTTGGGGGCCCTTATCCATCATTAGAGATTAGTCCAAAGGGCGAATTCCATATCTAGATCCAAACCTATGTAAATTGTGCGGGTGTTCAAGTATAGAGTTTAGTGTAACCCAGTCACTACTTTTAATGATTTCTACTCTCACCGTTCTGTTCTACCTAAAGTTGTACCAGCCCTAAAAATTAAGGCTAATGAAAGTAAATCCTTGCAGTGATGCACGTTTGATTCCTGGGTTGTTTTGAGCTGTTTGTTTCCATGACTGTTAGCAAGTTGATTTACCAGAGTCACAGACACAAATCAAAATTCTGGAGTACTGCAGGTAGTGTATTTGCTAATACTTCTCCAGGAAGGCCAGCTTGCTAAATTGCCACAAGTACGCCTCGTTCTTTCAGCTCGCTAAAGGTAACACAGCCTGTTAAAAGAACAGGAGTACTTGTGGCACCTTAGAGACTAACACATTTATCTGAGCATTAGCTTTCGTGAGCTACAGCTCACTTCATTGGAAAAGTGACTGTGAATCTCTCTGCATGCGAAACAACAACATTATTGTAATGTCAAATTTGAGATGATAAGCTGTGTTTTCAAAATGGTCAAATGGAGGTAGGTACCCAAGTGCCTTAGGCCCCTTTGATATCTCAGCCTGTTACACACAACTCAGATAATTCAGAGATCCTTCCTGCAGTGACTTTAACTCTGCCCCCTCAAATATCTACAGGACTACAGGCAGGTTTGTTAACCAGTCACAGAGTGTACATACAGTAATCCAACAAGTCAAAACTTTATATCTACAATCTTCAGATTCCTTACGCTAACCTGAGTGTTGCTGTAGTTGTTCTGCATCCAAATAGACACATGAGAACTAAGAAATAGTTTTGGCCCCTTATTAAATCTAGGCCTTTTCACATAGATTTTAGTATAAAAACAAACACATCTCGAATTATTAGAAATAACGGTGCTGTTGTTTTAATTGCTGTAGTAAAAGAAATTATGAAAGAAGAAGTGTGGGGCTTTGAAAATCACTATCGTGGAAGAGAGCTCCCAGGGTTTGTCAATTACAGGACATTTGAGGCCATTGTGAAACAACAAATTGTGCTGCTGAAATCACCAGCTATCATGATATTGAAGACAGTGACTGGTGAGTTTCATTCACTTAGTTTGCCATAAACTTTGACCATATTCATTTAGCTGCTTTTATAACCACTTAGCTTTAATTCATATGGCAAGTTTTTAGGGGGCAGATGAGTTTTGGGGCTGGAATCAGAATGATGGTACTTACAACTTGTGGAGTGTAGCTAACTGGTAAAATATTGAAATATTCAGTCCTCCACGTACTGCTTCAGATCAAATATATAAATGTAAATGTTTTCACTGAGACCATAAATACCAAATCATTTTTAAATGTAGGTAGGAGAATAATATAGATTAAAGAGTTATCACTAAAACTACATCAAATTTAAAGTAACAATATATTGCTACAATCTGTGGAAGTATGATACAGATAATTTTGGTGGAAGTGTCAAATTCATTTTACTCTGTTTTGTGCAAGTGCCATTACGATTTCCACAGGACCCATGGACTCAATATGATTCTAGTTGCAGTGTTACAAGTCTTCCATACCCAGGCTCCAAATCCCCAAATGGATTGGACTACTCAAGTGTTTAAAGATAAGAATGTGTTTACAGTGTTTTGCTAGACCAGGGCCTCAAAGGCAAATGAACTGAAAATACTTAAAGTTTATTAAGTTTAAATATTTTTATTTAACTGATTTGGAAGTGAAAACATTTTTTACCACTTGGAACACAAAATAATACACATCACAAAATAATGCATATCACAAAACCATCACCCACACAGAATAGAAATACGCAAACTACGAAGCTTTCAAATTAAAACATTATTTAAGCTACAGCTGAACCCAATTTGTTAATGACTCATACAGTTCTTATATTTATACTGATGATGTGAAATTATAGTTATTCCTCCTTTGTCTTTTTAGAGCTTGTACGAGAAACTTTTACTGAAATTGCCATGCAACACTTTGAGAACTTTTTCTATCTTTTCAGAGCAGCTAAGGTAAGGGGCTATTTATGGCTGTGGTTCTCAACCGGGGTACATGTAACCCTGGGGGTACGCTTCCGGGGGTACATCAGCTCATCTAGATATTTGCCTAGTTTTACAACAGGCTACATAAAAAGCATTAGCAAAGTCAGAACAAACTAAAATTTTATATAGTCAATGACTTGTTTATACTGCTCTATATACTCTGAAGTACTCTTCACACAATGCACCATCAACCTGTGGAACTCTTTGCTAGAGGATGTTGTGAAGGCCAAAACTATAACAGGGTTCAAAAAAAGAACTAGATAAATTCATGGAGGATAGGCCCATCAATGGCTATTAGCCAGGATGGGCAGAGATGGTGTCCCTAGCCTCTGTTTGCCAGAAGCTGGGAATGGGTGACAGTGGATTGATCACTTGATGATGACCTGTTTTGTTCATTCCCTCTGGGGCACCTGGCATTGGCCACTGTTGGAAGACAGGATACTGGGCTAGATGGATCTTTGGTCGACCCAGTATGGACATTCTTATGTTCTTAAATATAAGCACAATATTTATATTCAAGTTGATTTATTTTATAATTATATGGTAAAAATGAGAAAGCAATTTGTCAGTATTAGTGTGCTGTGACACTTCTGTATTTTTACATCTGATTTTGTAAGCAAATAGTTTTTAAGTGAGGTGAAACTTGGGGGTACCCGAGACAAAACAGACTCCTGAAAGAGGTACGGTAGTCTGGAAAGGTTGAGAACCACTGATTTATGGTATCTACATCATCATTAATGGCATGTGCTTAGAACTATCTTCACTCTTGGTCAATCTATTATCTATCTGTATAACTTCCCACTGATTGATAAAATGTCTACCACTGTATTCAGTTAATGGTGTAGAGCAGTGGTTCTCAAACTTTTGTCCTGGTGACCCCTTTCACACAGCAAGCCTCTGAGTGTGACCCCCCCTTATAAATTAAAAAAATGTTTTTATATATTTAACACCATTATAAATGCTGGACGCAGAGCGGAGTTTGGGGTAGAGGCTGACAGCTCATGTCCCCCAATGTAAAAACCTCACAAACCCTTGAGGGGGCCTGATCCCCAGTTTGAGACTCCCTGGTGTAGAGTGCAAAGTTACATAGTGAAGCAACAGATGCATAAAAGTGAAGGTGCTGAACAATAATGCCATGAGCTTGAGGGCATGGGGCCTGATTCTGATCTCACGTAACTGGTTTTACACACATGTAACTTCACAGGCCTCCTTAGAGTTACTCCAGAATTACACTGAGACCAGAATCACAGTTAAACTCATGAAGTTCCACTGGGTGCATAGTTTGTGGGACTTCAGTTCCCTGATTGCTGTCAAAGGGGGAATTGGTGGGACAATCTTCACGTGTAGGCTGGCAGTTAGCCTGTCCTGTGAGGTCTTGCCTCAGTGTAAGTGGGGGAATAGTCCCGCTCTTGTGGGGAACTTTCCTGGCTTCTGCACTACCCCCATGAAGCGGGCTAGCAAAAGGATCTGAGTCCTCGCTCCCACTTCCTTTACCCAGTGGCCTCCCTTCCCTTGAGGACTCCCCTTCCACTCTCCTGTCTGGCAGAGTCCTCGTAACCCCAACAAGGCTGGGCCCAGGATTCCTGGGGGCTCGACCCCCCACCCTGCTGTGGTCACCTAGGACAGGGGCTAGGGTGTCCCCACTCCGGGGTACTCTCTCTGCACTGGGCACTTCTCTGACCCACTGACCATTACATACAAGTTAAAGCAAATGCAAGTTATTTAATCAACACTTAATTTTAAAAAGAATAAGGAAAAATGGGAAAGGTTAAAGGAAACACATCAACCTGCTCTGTGGCAGGGAACATCACAAACAGTGTCTCTGGAACATCAGGGCAGGTCACAGACTGTTCCTTGTAAGTCCCAGGCCTCCTGCTCAGGCCCTGGCTGTGCTGCAGGGATGCTGTGGGTTGGACACTTGCTCTGGTGGTGGCCACACGCTCTCAGGCTCTAAGTGGCAGGACCCTTCTTCCCAGTGTCGCCCCCGCGCTGTCGGGGTTACGATCCAAGCCTGGCCTGCAAAGCCCCTTGGCTGAGGCATCTCCCTGTGCTGGGCCCACTGCCCAGGGTCCCCCTCAGTCTCCTCAGCTGCTCACCGCACCCAGCTCCGGACTGCTCCAGCCCCAGCTGCACCACTCTGTCTCTGCACTGCTGCTGCTCTGCCTCCAGCTCCCTGGGCTGCTTCTCTGGCCCCTCTGCCTCTGGTTGCTGCAGCTCTGCTCCCAGGACAGGTCTGCTCTGCAGGCTACCTCTGTGATTCTGCTCCCAGCACTGACCTTCTTCCTGGGCTGCTTTTCTGGCCCCTCTGGCTCTGGTTGCTGGCTATGCTCCCAGGGCAAGTCTGCTCTCTCTGTATCTGGCACAGCTCTGCTCCCCAGCTCACCTTGGGCCCCTGCTTTCTCCTTAGCTCGGCCCCACTCTGTCTGACCCAGGCAAAACCAGCTCACATGGAGAACGGGACCTCCCTGGCCTCCTGACTCTCTGATTAGCCTGCCCACCATGTCATTCAGGCTGACCTGGAGCATTGGCCTCTCCCCATTGTTCCTGGGGACTGTCAGTCTCAGGGTCCTGATTTCCCATCGACCTTTCCCCTTTGAGCACTGGGAGCTAGCCAACCAAAACACCCCACTGAATATTAGTAAGGGGGCAACAGTCCCCTTACATCAAGTATACAGAGCACAATTAGAGGAGACCTTGACTTTCATTTAGTTTAATGCAAAATTGTTTGTTAATAAATAGGTTAATTTGGTCATTAAACTGATGCATAATTTAATCATAGAGGAGATTCCTGACTCTGAAGGTGTCACAGAGACTTGGGTGGAGGGTGCAGCTACTGCTTTGCCAGCTCAGCTCACCCCAGCTGCATTCTCAGTATGGTCTGAAAGGCTCAGGGTGGTGGTATAGCTTCATTCTTCGCATCTGACTTCAAAACTGGGAATCTCCCTGCTCCTAAGTGTGTGTTGTGGGATGAGCTTAACCTAGTAATGATATGGGGGGTTCAGAGTGTCTATTGCCCCTCTGCATTCCAGCCAAGCTGACTACAGCTTTGTGCAGCCTGCAAATGAAATCACTGAGGCTTGTTGTTCTGGGTGGCTTTGATGTCTACACAGAGGAAAGCTGTATTGAGTCATCTTGGTATCTCATGACTGCCTTGACAATCAGAGATACAATGTAGGTTGTTTCTGGATCTATGCTTAGAGTGGAAAATGCTCTACAGCTGTTTTTTGAGCAGAGGTTGATGATTCAGTGAGTGTCTAATAATACCTTTGTCATGGGTGGACCGTTTGCCTCTACAGACTGCAGTCAGTGCTGACTGTTGCTTCTTTTGAGAAAGTAGATACATTTGGATGGATGCTTAAGCATCATGAGTTGCTTTATAAATTGTTGGGTGGTATTGGGTCTGCTCTATTGATTCTTCTTCTAATTTTAAATCACAGAATAGAATTGAAGACATAAAACAAAAAAAAGAGGAGGAAGCTGAAACTGTAATTGCCAATCAGTTCAAAATGGAACGCATCGTTTACTGTCAGGACAGTCTTTACAGTGAAGATTTACAGGAAACTAGGAAGGCTCATGAAGTCCTCCCTTTTGGTGTTGCTGTTACTCATGTTAAGTCTATTGCATCTCAAAAACAGCATTCCGTTGATGAAATGGCTTATCACTTGAATGCATATTTCAAGGTGAGTTTCTTGTCCGTGTATTTCCCCCCTATCAGTCCTACTTTATAGAACATAAGTACCTGGGGGGAAATGTACAGCTGACATTTAAGGAGAGGGGTGATTCCTTTACTCGTAACTTTTTTTTTTAAAGAAAGTAGTATGCTTCGAGTAAATACTAGATTAACAGTACTGAACACAGAAGACCTTTACGGACAACAAATGTTCAAATATCCCTAGTTGTAGTCATTGCTTTTTGGTACTTGTTCCCATTACTGTTCACAATTTGCAGTAAGCTATGGAATAACCACGTGCTGCCAAGTGTAATAGTGTGCCCTATTACTAGGAGTGTTGTAACACTGAGAAGTCATAACCACAACATGAAAGGGAGTTAATTAACTATACTTTTCTATTCCCAGCCTAATAGCTAGAAAGCCTCTAAGTGGACTGATCAGTTGTAAAATTGCAGGATCTTATTTTCTGTGTTTCCCTCATACATCCTTGACTATTGATACATCATCCTGTTGATGATCTTCTTTTCTCTTAGGGTGCAGGCAATCGTCTCTCCACTCAAATTCCTTTGATTATTCAGTCCTATGTCCTCCAGGACTACACTGAAATGTTACAGACTGAAATGTTGCAACTTTTGCAAGACAAAGATCAATTTAGCATTCTTCTTCTTGAGAAGAAAGATGCCGCCACTGAAAGGAAAAATTTGAAAGAAAGAATTAAACGTCTGACACAAGCTCGACAACGCTTAGCAAAGTTCCCAGGTTAAAGCAGATGTGCAAAGCACTATCACTTTTCTTTAACTCTCTTCTGTGTGAGTTAGTTAACCAAGACCTAAATATTCAGTGGGAACTGTTGGGTACTCAGGACTTTTGAAAATCAGGCCACTTATTACATGTCTAAATATGGATTTTGGTGCCTAACTTTAAGTTCCTGTTTTTGAAAATCCTGGCCCCTGTGACCCATTCACCTCTAATTGGGAATAACCTGCATACATGGGCGGTGAATATTCCTGGTGCCCAGACACCATAGGCCTGGCTCCAGCACTGTTTGAGGCCGGGTCTCCCTCAGCCCTGCCTTCTGCCCCCGGGCACACATCCCCCTCCCCCGTGGGTCCCCCAGGCCACTTAAAACAGCCTGGGGCCCTCACTCACCACCGACAGCGCAGCAGAGCTGAGCAGCTTCCTGCCTGCTTGCTCCACATGGCTGCCAGCCCCGCCCTGCGGCCCCTGGGTAGGGTGGGTCTGTGTCCTGCCCCAAGCGCCCCTGCAGCCAATGGGAAGCTGCAGGGGCAGTGCCTGGGGGTAGCAGCACACGGGGACCCCCAGTCCGCCCTGCCTAGGAGCCCCAGATAAGCTCCACACCCCTCCACCCCTTCCCAGAGCTTGCACCCCAGCCCTCCACACTCCCTCCCAGCCCCTGCACCCAAACTGCATCCCAGAGCCTGCACCCCTCACCCCCTCCTGCACCTCCACCCTCTGCCCCAGCCCGGAGCGTGCACCCAGCACCCAAACTCCATCCCAGAGCCTGCACCCCAGACCCTCTCCCCCATCCAAACTCCCTCCCAGAGCCCAATCTCTCACCCGTCCTGCACCCCAATCAGCTGCCCCAGCCCAGGGCCTGCACCCCAGACCTCCTCCCTCCACCCAAACTCCCTCCCAGAGCCTTAGGCGAGCCGGGGGTGGAGATAGAGGGGGGCAGGCTCTGAGCGTTCTGGGCACCACCAAAATTTCTAAAGACCTGCTGCCCCTGCCTGCATAGGGGTGAGGGGAACCCTTCAAATTTCAGTGTGTGGAGTTCCTTGTGGATTGCCATGTCTTCAGGGGGAAAGAAGAGTTCCCTTGTAACACTGGACACCCTGGAACCCTGACGAGAGCTGAGGAAGCGTTGTTCTAAGTCAGCCATAAAAATGTTGGCATACTGTGGGGCCATGTGGGTACCCATAGAAGCTCTTGAGGAATTCCACCATGATTTCAACAATTTCCATCCCACCATCCACCTCAGCCTGGACCAGTCCACACAAGAGATCCACTTCCTGGATACTACGGTGCTAATAAGCGATGGTCACATAAACACCCTATACCGGAAACCTACTGACTGCTATACTTACCTACATACCTCCAGCTTTCATCCAGACCACACCACACGATCCATTGTCTACAGCCAAGCTCTACGGTACAACCGCATTTGCTCCAACCCCTCAGACAGAGACAAACACCTACAAGATCTCTATCAAGTGTTCTTACAATTACAGTACCTACCTGCTGAAGTGAAGAAACAGAGTGACAGAGCCAGAAGAGTACCCAGAAGTTACCTACTACAGGACAGGCCCAACAAAGAAAATAACAGAACTCCACTAGCCATCACCTTCAGCACCCAACTTAAACCTCTCCAACGCATCATCAAGGATCTACAACCTATCCTGAAGGATGACCCATCACTCTCACAGATCTTGGAAGACAGGCCAGTCCTTGCTTACAGACAGCCCCCCAACCTGAAGCAAATACTCACCAGCAGCCACACACCACACAACAGAACCACTAACCCAGGAACCTATCCTTGCAACAAAGCCCGTTGCCAACTGTGTCCACATATCTATTCAGGGGACACCATCATAGGGCCTAATCACATCAGCCACACTATCAGAGGCTCGTTCACCTGCACATCTACCACTGTGATATATGCCATCATGTGCCAGCAATGCCCCTCTGCCATGTACATTGGCCAAACTGGACAGTCTCTACGTAAAAGAATAAATGGACACAAATCAGACGTCAAGAATTATAACATTCAAAAACCAGTCAGAGAACACTTCAGTCTCTTTGGTCACTTGATTACAGACGTAAAAGTGGCAATTCTTCAACAAAAAAACTTCAAAAACAGACTCCAACGAGAGACTGCTGAATTGGAATTAATTTGCAAACTGATACAATTAACTTAGGCTTGAATAAAGACTGGGAGTGGATGGATCATTACACAAAGTAAAACTATTTCCCCTTGTTTCTGTCCCCTCCTACTGTTCTTGTAAAGTGCTGGAAATGGCCAACCTTGATTATCACTATAAAAGGTTCCCCCACCCCCCACCCCACTCTCCTGCTGGTAATAGCTCACCTTTCCTGATCACTCTTGTTACAGTCTGTATGGTAACACCCATTGTTTAATGTTCTCTGTGTATATAAAATCTCCCCACTATATTTTCCACTGTATGCATCCAATGAAGTGAGCTGTAGCTCACGAAAGCTTATGCTCAAATAAATTTGTTAGTCTCTAAGGTGCCACAAGTACTCTTTTTTCTTTTTTTAATATATTTTGGCAGTCAGCTGGGAATTTTAATGAAAACTCTTTTAGATAAGCAGGATGAAATGTCTGACTCTATTCAGCACATTGCCTCGTTCTATAATATTGCATCCTCGAGTGCAACATGCTTCTGTAAGGCATCACGTTAATGTGAGATGTCTTGAGATAGCCTTTCCATGCATGATACACAAAGACATCTGCATCTACTGCAGACATTGGAACTATTGGTTCCCAGGGTAAAACTACTGAGGTCAAGATGTTTTGGGTAAAGAATCCTTGGCAGTGATCCCGCAGAAGAAATCAGAATATGTCCAAATCTGACAATGCTCAGAACGTTGCAAAACTCTTCATGTTCCAAAAGCCTTCCTGCATGAGAAGAAACTAGGCATTCAGGCTGGATCGTGTAAACTGGCAGCTCAGGATTGTTGTGTGTGATTACAATGCGGGGAATTCAACTCCCACTTGTCCTTTATTTTATTATGCCCCCAGTGTCTATGGTTACAAACTAGTACACAGTTACCTCGCTTGATGAGAGCCCCACTTGACTTGTGATGATAAGTCCTTTTCCTACTTTGGGCTGTGTCTTTATTTATACTGAGAGCAAATTTACAGGTTGTCTTCAGCCTGTCATGGTGACCTTTGACCCAGTCATCCAAACTGGTCACATCATCTTCTTCAGGGCCCTCTCTGGCAACCTGGGATCTCTCCCGAGCATGAAATAAAAAGGAGCATAACCTGTTGATGAATGGATGTGGCTGTCATAGGTCAACACCAACTCAGGGAGATGTTCCTGACAGGCTCGCTTCTTTTTTGGGAGGGAGTGAACTTAGCCTGTCATGCACTGTCCAGTTAAACCTCTCTCACTGAGCATTTCCTTGCATACAATAGGGCGTTGTTCAGCTTTTACCTATGCCATACAGTTTGCACAACTCAAACATCACCTCTGACTCAAAATTCTTCCCCTGATCCGCAAACCAGTGTTTCATGCGGACTTCGGCTGTTGTCCACACTGTATGGTTTCTAGTTGGAACTGCGACTTGAATTGGGTAAACGTGTCCATGAGAACCAATAAGTTGTCATACCTCCTCTGAAGATCTCTCTAGCAGTGTGTAGTCCATTGGGACAGTCATATTAGTACAGATTAAAGGGGCTCAGGTGGGAGGAAACACATCCTTGGCTAGGGCACACCGTTTGCACTGATGGATCCCTGATTGTACTTCGCTACCCATCGTGGGCCAGTAATAGTTTCTCCTCAGCACCTCGAGTGCTCCTGTCTCCAGAATGCCCCCTATGATCATGCCTAGCTTCATAAACTTGCCGGCATAGCAAAACAGACACCACTAACTGCCACACTTCTTTGCCATCTCGGGGGGTGGTAGGACATCTAGAACAGCACTCTGCGGTGCAATCTAAATCATTCCTACTGTCTGGCCAGCTTCTTAGACTGGGGGTATCTGGCCCCAAATGTCTGGTCTGGCCTCATTTGGCTCGTGACTGCCACTAAGACAGGTCGGACATTGCCTTCTCATTGCAGAGTTTGGATCTCCTCTCATGAGTACTCCAAGATTATCGCACTCCCTTTTACCAGGTTTTTTATTGCATTCTTTACCATCACTTCATCCTCAGGCTTTGGATTCTCTAGCCACAAACAGGTCTGCACAACATCTGCAGGAATGACCAGCAAGTCTTTTTCCAGATCTTCGCTCTCTTCTGATCCCTCCTGTAGAGGCAATCTAGATAGGGTGACTGCATTGATGTTCTGTCTTCCAGGTTTATACCATCTTTTCATATATATACTGCTTTCTGTATTTTTGACTCCATGCATCTGATGAAGTGGGCTTTAGCTTATGCCCAAATAAATTTGTTAGTCTCCAAGGTGCCACAAGGACTTCTCGTTGTTTTTGCAGGTTTATACTGTAATTCAAAAGTTAATGCAGCAAGTTGGGCCACCCACCAGTGTTCAGTTGTGCCTAAGTTAGCCATTGCGAGGTATCAGAGTGGATTGTGATCTGGGATCACTGTGACCTTAGAGTACGCTAAATAATCCTTAAATATTTCAGCCCACTTCAAAGGCCAGCAGTTCTAGTTTAAAAGCACTGTAGTTTTTGTCATGTCTTTCTGACTTCTTCAGCCCTTGGCTTGCGTATGTGATCATGCACTTGGCCCCCTCTGGCTGAGCACCACACCCAGGTCATGCAGGCTTCCATCGGTTGTCACTATAAATGGCAGGCTAAAGTCAGGAGATGCAAGCACCATAGGTGCCAGGTTTGTATAATTTTTGGTGGTGCCCAAGCAGAGCCATCCCGTCAATAGGATGGACCGGGGCAACCGCCCAGGGCCCTGCACTTTGCGGGGTCCAGGGCAGACTGGAGGGTTAGTGGGGGGCCTGGCGCTGGCAGCAGTGAGCAACCCAGCCCCATCCCGCCCTGCTCCACCTCTTCCCACCCCACTCCCACTCCACCCCTTCGCCCAAGCCCCCGCCCCTGAGCAATGCTGGGGCTGGAGCCAGGTCACTCACTGCTGCTGGTGCCAGGCCTCCAAACTAACCCCCCAGGCCACCCTGGACCCTGCGTCCCCAGGGGCAGAGCGGGGCAGGGGTAGGCACCACCATGTTGTGCGACGGACACTTGACAAAATTACCAGACTTAGTGACGAACATTGGTGGGGGGGAAGAGGGGTGTAATTATGTCATTCAGTCATTCAACCCATAAAATAGCACACAATTTTCCACACTGGAAAAAAACAGCAACCTAGCTAATAACAACAAAAATAATAATAATAAATTGAACTTGTATAATTAATGAAAAAATTGTGTATATTGTATATGAGATTATTACATGAGAAATGAAAGTGAGCTTGCTTGGGTATTTTACAAGGCACTTATATCATTTAAACACATTTGGTACCCTGAGTAATAACAACACTTCTTGCAAATCACATAAATAGGGAATCCATGGTCCCCTTCCCTCACCCCATTGCAAAGGCACAGGGGCTATTGCTGGCTGCCCTAGGGCTGCAGAAAACCCTATGGACAAAACATATGGAAAGAAGGGGGTCAATTTATACAGAGGGCTGAAGGGGGACTCACATAGTGCATTAATTAACACTTAATAAATACATCAAAATTAAATCCATTACAGAGATAAGAACCTGTAATGACAGACTTTACTTCATGAGATGCTCCAGAGAAAGAAGACCCAGACGGAGTAATGGTAGGGGGACTCCTAGGAAGGCCAAAGGGGCTGTTAGAGGGAGTGGACAGAGAACAAGGGTAGAGGCAGAGTCACTGCAGGGTTGGCCCAATCTTCTGCCTCTCCCCTGTGGGTGGAAACACTGATCACTATCGCTATTGGAGGGAACAATAGAATGGAATGCCTAGAAGAATGAATGACTTGAGGACAATTTCCTGATGGGACCCTTGCCCTTGCAGAGCTTTTCATAGAATCATCATAGGGTTGGAAGGGACCTCAGGAGGTCATCTAGTCCAACCCCCTGCTCAAAGCAGGACCAATCCCCAAGTTTTGCCCCAGATCCCTAAATGGCCCCATCAAGGATTGAATTCCCAACCCTAGGTTTAGCAGGCCAATGCTCAAACCACTGAGCTATCCCTTTTCTAGCACCAACATTTACATTTCTACACAGGGTGGTTTGGCCCACAGAAATAAAAATCTGCACATCTTCCTTGTGGTTTTGGACCAATGGAAAAAAACAGGTACCATTCAAGTGACTTTTAAAATTGCCTATGAAACTGAGTTAACAAAATAAATGAGCTTATGAACAACCAGAAAACATACTTCCCAAGTGAAAAACTATAACTGGACTTCTTTGCAAAGAAATTGGAAGTTTTCTTATAGGAAAAGCCACAAACTGCCTGGAAAGGAAGAGTAGATTGAATTACTTGCCTCAGTGAAATTCTATACCCAGAGCAATGCTGGGCCTGTGCTGATGATGACCAGGGCTTGCTCACATGTGGCTCCCCGTGCTGTGGAGGCAGGGCCAGGCAGATCTACATCTGCAAGCAGGCATGCCGCCTCAGGTGCAGCTCCCATTGGCCGCAGTGGCCAATAGGGGGAATCTCCTGGCCAGTGGGCTGCGGGGGAGGGGGAAGGCAAAGGGGGAGATTGTAGGGAGCTCGGGAGCAAGGGGAAGGGGAGCTGTCTGGAGACACAAAGGGGGGATTCTCTGGAGAGGGGTGATGGGGCATAGGGGCAGGTGGGGTTCTTTCAGGGGGGCAGAAGGGGAGTGATGGACAGAGCCAGCTGCAGCCCATGTCTGCTCTGGGGGGGGGGGTGCTATAGCCACCCCAAGAAGCCCCCTCTGCACTCTGTATTTTATGCCAGCCCCGGGGTGCCCATCGCTGCTCCTTCTCCCCACAACGGCTTCATCTGTCTGTCCCCACAACCCTCACCCTCCCCCCTGCTATGTCTGTGTCTGACAGTGACAGACTCCTGCTGCTCTCTGCCCAGGGTTGAGAGCCGCCACCTGCAGCTCCCTCCCCCTCCCTGCTGTGGAGGTGCGGCCAGGCAGCTCTGCCACCGGTGCCAGCTGGCTGGGAGCCAGGTCAGCGCTGTGGGAGGAGGGGAATGGAGTCTCTGCCGAGACTCTCTGCAGCACTCGGGGATGGGGGGAGCTGCTTGTGGGGAGGTGTGGGAGCCACCCCCGAGGTGAGAGTACACCACGTTGCCGACCCATGGCGTGGGGCCTGGGGCCTGGGGCCCAAACATTGGTGGAGCTGGGCCCACCTTCATGAATATTCATGGAGCCTGGGCACCACGGGCCCATATAACTCACCACCTAAAGCACAGGTGGTGACTTAGCTGGTGTCTTAATTCGTCAAAAGCTGTCTGACCGGCACCATCCCACACAAAGCACTGGTCCTTTCCCTTCCTTTCAGCCAGCTGGCCCACTAGTCTATAGTGGAGCAGCAATGTGCACAAACTTTGGGATCAATCATCTGTAATAGCTCATGAAACCTAGAGCCTGC